ATGTTCCTTAGTTCTCCTAAGATCCCAAGATCTTGCTTTATTTTAAAAGTAGACAAACAGCACATAACATCATGTACAGGTGAAAAATGTCGTTTATTGAAGTAAATGACGAAAAGTATAAAACACAAATCATAATGAACAATACAAAATGGGGATCAGAAAGAGGCTTTCAAATATCAAGTATTGCATATATTAGGCAGATCAGACTCTCCGCACCATAATGACATTATTACATGATGTACATAGGATAAAGTGGGGTCAAGCGGACTAGAATAAGAATTCAAAAACTGAAAACTTTGACAAGATAGAGTATACTTTAAGTTGACCCCCTCACAAACATAACTTTAGCTTCATAATGAGATCACATTACGTCATGTTTTCTCCCATGGTGGTTTGATAACTAGTTCAAGAGTGTTCGCCTTACATGCGCCCGATGACATGCGGCCTGGTCCAACCTAATACTTCACTTAAACTGACACTTCATTTAACACTAACACTAACATCACTGAACATTTCACTGAACACACGGTGTAAACACTCCTGGAATTTTCTTTGGAGACCCATGCAAAGTTTGTGTCACGGTAGACTCTGAAACGATAAAGAACCCTCGATCCATGCATTTACATCAAAATCTGTGTGCATAGCTATAAAAAGTAAACCGTCACTTTTTAAAATGATCCTTCATTTTGAAAACAGGGAAGCAGAGATAGATGGAAACTATAAACGTTATTCTTTTCACACATTCCAAAATCCAGTACTATTAATGCAGGCTTAGCGGAAAAAATGCAAATCTGGTAGCTATTTTCTCAAGATCCGCCCAATGTACCATCGTGTCATCGTTTGCTTAATTTTTTTTTTTACATAAATGTTTTTTCATCTAATAAAACACTTTTTCTTATCAAAAAGGAATTATGGATTGACTATTTCTTGTGTGTTTTTCTCATTTCGAAATCAAGCATCCTGTTTTAAGTCACCCGAGTCACTCAGGTGAACTTTATATGGTTTTGTCCGTCGCAGTGTGTCATCCCTAAACTTTTGAACACTTTCAGCTTTTTCTCTGGAACGGAAGGGCTAATTTCGAACCAAGTACAAACAAGATCCCTGTAATGCTCATAGAATTTACGAAATGCTGACTTTAAAGGGCATCAACTTAATTGTTAGTAGCTTGCCTCGGTTTACAAATTGCTCGTATTCAGAGCATGCTCTTGCTTATCGAATCGGTTAGGAGACATAAAACCATATGCAGGTGATGTTGGAATATTGCTACTTAAATAAGGGATGTTGACGATGGAAAAGCTGAAGTCATCCCGTTTGTCATATATAGTTTAGTTCTAATTGGCCATTATCGTCTATTGTCAGTATAAAAGCATCCAGATATGAAACAGATGCTGTAGACTCTGTAGTGTCTTTTATTTAAAGTTCCCCGAGACAAATGAATGAAAGTAACTTGTTATTTGAAAAAAAAGTCATCGATATATCTAAATGTTGAGTTGAAAGTCCCAGCAAGAGTCTTCTTTTTAAAAGACGTAATTGAATAAATTCTGCTTCATATGAATATAAAAACAGGTCAACTAGTAAATGAGCACAATTATTGCCCATCGAATTTCCAGCAGGTTGTTGGAAGGCTTGATCTCCAAAGACTACTGATGTTTTAAATGGGGAAATCCAACATGTTTTAAATATCAACTTCATAGTACGTGTGTGTAGAATCAGAATTGATTTTAACAAAGTAAGTTTGTAGATTACCAATCACAAGATATGAAAATCTACGAGTTCTATTTATATTAAGGATGCAGTTGTCTAAGACGTCAAAAAGCTTGCTCTTCAATTTATCGAGAGGAATGGTTGAAAATTATAAATATTTAATTTTAGATATTACGAATTCAAATAGCATTAAGCAGTATTATAGAATCTATTTTAGACTGCCTATTCCTAATGATCAGATTAAAAAATAAAGTACAATTTATTGTTTTTTTAATGATAAGTTTTAATAATGTGTAAACAAGAACACATATTGTAATAATTAGATATTTATCACTAAAACTGTTGATTTATATACTACATACATGTAATATGAAATGTGACGATAAAGAACAGCAGTCATGATCAGAAGTCCAATTCAATAGTACACATTTTAAGCAGATCAAACACGGATCTCTAAAAACAGAGGTGGGATCAGGTGCCATGTAGAGCATCCCCTCACATCCGCCATGTGACCCTTTTTGGTAAAAAATCTGAGAAATCCGCAGACAATTCAGTATGAAAATAATGGTCCAACCATTTGCAGTCAATATTCGACCTAACGACAGAAAATAAATTAAAGAGGGTCATTGTATCGACCACAGAATATGCAAATGTTGACTTTAAAAGATATATTGAGGCCCTTGTATCATCAACTCGTTTGTCTATAGCTTTTCTCATTTAGAGATTGTTCGTATGCAGAATATGCTCTTGCTTATCAAATCAACCCTTATGGGGGGATTATGGAATATTATAAAAATACTGCACGTAGTTAAGTATAACATTGAAAATTTTTCACCCCAAGAAAACCATTGTCGACCGAGTCGCAGCCGAGGTTGACAATGGTTTTCGAGGAGTGAAAATTTTTAATGTTACACTCAACTACGTGCAGTATTTATTATTTTATACTGAATGTTTTTTACAAATACATATTACAGTGAACCTTGCACGCATAAATTCTGCGCAGGCAATATTTTTTTGGAATATTACCCGTCGTCAAGCAATGTCGACTGTTGCTGTGCTAGAGGCGTGGCTTCATTATTCAGCGGGTAATAGTGTTTTTAGCAAATGTTTCTCGACGAATCAGATTCAACTAATTTACATGAAAGTATAATATTGCTGCATAAATAAGGGAAGTTGGTGACAGAAAAGTTGCAGTCATCATGTTTATCATAAAGGTTAGGTGTTAGTTTAGTATCAATGTCTTTCTCTAGAATAACATCCAAATATAACTTACGCATGTGTCAGAGACTGTGATGCCTTTTATTTCATGTTCAATAGGATATATCGAATCAATGTATAAATGAAAATGTATATCATCTTACGATGATACGATGGTGAAAATCCTTGTATTAGAAGAGAAGACACAAGTCTTCCGTGACACCTGCTGTATAACTTGACGCCTCTGATAAAGCTAAACTTGCAATGCATATTGAAATCATATTATTTTGATGTTGAAATTGAATCTAAGAGTAGTACTAACCACAGAAGAGGATACACAGAATAATTCTTGAAAACTAAAATAGGACGATTTTGATGCTTAACATTAAATTTCACTGACAACTTGGCAGGTGACAAGATTTTTTTTACGTTTTTCATCGACATCTGATTTGTTTAAAACATTGACGGTGACAGCTTAACGCCAAAAGGGCCACATTATTGAGAACAGTATACAACCCTGGTCTCATGCTCAAACAATCGACAAAGTCATTGTATAATTGGATGCTTATAAAGTTATAAATATTTAATTTTAGAAATTACGAATTCAAATAAGATTAAGCAGTGTTATAGAACCCATTTTATATTTCTATTTTTCATGCCTGAAAATTAAACATACAGCACAACGCATTGTTTTTTATAAGGTAATTCAAAAACATATATTTAAAAAAACATATTAATTACATATTTATTTTATTTGAACAGTCTCTAGTTACTAGTATTCATAAATAAATTGGAATTTTTTTTTATGAACTCTACTATTACTGTACTGTAAATATTGGTGATATTGATTAGATTACTTATAATGTCGTGGTTTCACCTAGAATGAATGTATTTGCAAAATCTGCTAAAATATTTCAGCTGGATTGAGCAGTAACTTCTTTTACACTGGGAAACTAGAAAGGAGGAACATATATTATGATAATTTTACAAAGTTTTTACTCTATAAATTATTATCAATTATAACAATTATTGTACAAATTTGATGACAAGATACTTTAGTAATATAAAACGAGTGGAATGCCTTTCACCTCAAGGCGGCAGGTATATTTATTGAAGATTAATTGCCCTCGCTTTCAGATATGATTCATAAATGTTTGAAAAATGTTTTGACAATGACCAATAGAGACTGATTTATTGACTGTCTTAAGGTTTTGTAAAACAAAATGCTTTCGTGTGGTATGTGTTTTTAAAGTTTCCGAGCCTGTCAGTTAAGGACAATTGCACGTCATGTCTAAGTAAGAATGTCCCAAAATGCCACAAAACCACAGGGTGTTGTTTCCCAAATCATTTTCATGATTTTTTTATTTGCAAAATGTTTGGGCAGGTTGATTAGAATGTTATTTTGAAAGAGGTGTACATATTTTTGTATATTTATTTATTAAGTACAGAATCTTCTGTAATTAAGTGAAAATCATACGAGAATCATTAGAGAAATTCATTTTTATCTATATTTGCCCTTATTTCATAGTGCATGCAGCTGCTTTTAACTTTTCTCAACACAATTTGTAATTAATTATCAATATTTTATTGATTCTAAATTAATTATGCTTACAAGTCAAAATAAATTGTCATTTAATGCAGAAAAGTTATTCCAGAAAATAATTATTGTTAATTTCAAAATCAACAAACTATCAATCACAACAAAACACAGATCATACATTACTGGAGAAGAGGTGTTGCCAATATTCTTAGCAAATATATCTGAATAAAGACAAACAAAACGAGTATACACTTTTTACATTTTTTTCCTAAAAAGCGCTATATTTTTCTCAAAATTAATCTTAAAAAGCGAATGCGATAAATACAATTTATCAATAATGTATCTCACACAGGTAATATTTTGCATGCTTGAAATAGTTATACAAAAGTGCACTATCCTACAGGACAGTTTGTGTCTCAATGGACATAAAGTAACATGACAGTTAGCGAGAAAGTCGCCCACCACCTAAGCATTCCTTACTCCGTCACGCATGGTCGCTTATTCGTGTCAGGCAAAACTCTTGTTGTTCATTCATGGGTCACATCGTGCACTATGTCAAGCTACTTCTGAAGAACTCAGATCGTCCAAATGTAGAATCATGGTGCCACAGAACTTGTTTGTTCTTTTATGAAAGAAAACATAAGGATATTCTAATTTATCATTTGTGTTTTTAGAGAGTGAGGTGTTGTTGGTACAACGTCCATTAATTCTGTTGAAGGATCAGCGGTGCGCATGGAACATAAATATACGATATACTAATGATGAAGCATAACAACAGGATCTGTGTACTTACTGAAAATTGGAAAAAAGTGAAATGAAGATGCTCTAAAGAATTCTGGAAGTTTAAAACTTTGTTAATTTCATCCTAGCGTAGAAGTGGACGACAATGAAAGTTGTGTATTATGTTGTGATGATCTTGGTTCTATCAGAGGGAGTGATAGCGTGGTTTGGAAAGAAGCCTGCTAATAAGAAATGCTTGTTTGAGCCATGCAAGGACTACTGCAGAAACGGAGGAAATTGTACTCAAGACGATTCAACGTGTATGCCACTGAAATGTGACTGTCCTCCAGGGTTTTCGGGTGGAAGATGTGAGAAGAACATGGAAAGTGTTACAACTACTGTGGATTCCAGATCAAACATAAATGGTTGTCAACTGCGTCCACTGGAAGAACGCATGTGTTTTCCGTTCCAGTGTCAACATGGCTACTGCAATAAAACCAACAGGAATCAAAAATGTGTTTGTGACAAGAATTGGACAGGTGATAGGTGCACACGTATGGACTGTTCGCCTTGTGGAAGCGGTGTATCTTGTACAAATACACCCTCTTGTGACGGTATAATTTGTGAAAGTCCTAGAACTACAAAGGAGGTCACAAGGCCACCGACATCACCCTCAGCACTGAATTTAAGACCACTTGCAGAACGTCTTTGTGCTCCATCTTTTGAGTGTATTCACGGGTTTTGCAGAAATACAGGTGGAATAAGCTGTGTTTGTGACAGAGGATACAAAGGGTTATTCTGCTCAGACAGTGTACCTACTACCACACCAACGGTAGAAGAAGATGACCCCGACGTGTGTTCAGAGGATTACAGCTTACGACCTCTATCTGTTAGGAATTGTTTTGCTGCCTTCACATGCAAGTATGGGGTTTGTGTTACAAAGCGTGGGGCTGTTGGTCCCCGGTATTCATGTGTCTGTGACCCTCACGCCAGTGGGGAAAAGTGTGAACACAAATGTTGTCGAAATTGTGGAGACTTCGGAAGTTGTGTTGTGAACAATGGCGAACAGCTGTGTAATTGTCAGATGGGACATTCCGGAGACTTTTGCAACATTACTGTTACAGAAGGTAAGAATATTTAGTAAATGTTTTCTCTTCAACCGCGTTATATTTTGCACCAGAACCATTCTCCTGCATTTGAAATACAGAATTTGCCCTACCACAGAGTATGACATTATCTTCAATCTTTTGATCCCTTTTATCAGCTGTTTCCGAGGAGCAGGTTTCTGACCGGCCATCTAATTGGGGTGCCTTAATGGTGGGGATATGTGCTGTGGTCCTTGTCTTTCTCTTGCTGACGGTGGTATTAATACCCTACATCTTATGGCGCAAGGGATTTGTTTTAATCATGAAAATTGTGCACTTCTTCCAACCCTTTGAACAAAACGGTAAGTGGAAGATTTTTTTAATTATATATATATATATATATATATTTTAATATATATCCTTTTATTCCTTGTCAGCCTTCACTAGTATATGATTATCCTATATATGTCCTCTTTTGACTATATCAGTGCAATGTTTAAAAGATTACGTCTCCCTTAAAAATGAATTTTCAACCAATTATTTTGAAAATGCTACAGAACTTGATTTAGGTAAGAATAGATACTATAATGTATGATATACTAATTAGACCAATTGAATATGCATCTCCTCTCAAATGAAAACAAAAAGATATCTTTGGCATTCCTAAAAATTTATATCTTAAAATGATCAATAAGAGGATGAGACGCTTTCATCTAAGTAAATACAGGTATGTTCCTATGGTGAGGCAAAATGTGCACTTTTTGTGCAATCAATGTTACCAAAAGTGTTTTACTTGATATGTGATTTAAATTACAACGCACCTTTCATTATCTATGTGGTTAATACATTTTATAACGACAATAAATGCTGAGGTTGTACCTTTATTCTCTTATGTAGTGTAGACTACTAGTTAAAAGTAATAAACATTGGTCAAAGTTGTCAGATTTATATTTATACCCCATAGTTTCGTTGTTGTTATTTTTTCTATTCAGAAAGACAAAATATCTTAATCTTATTATGCGTAAATCAACCACATTGAAAATAAACAAGATTTAAGATTTTTAAATATCTAATTAATGTCATCTTCTTCATTTATATTAACAATTCAGACAAATGTAAGTGTTTTTATTTAGGTGTAGTTCCAAACAATTAACAGTTGACCTGCTTTGTAGAGGCCATTGGGAAAAGTTAACGCCTAAATTGCATCATAATCTACCAAAATTACATGGCATAACTTAGGTCTTATGTACGAAAGGCAAATGAGCATGGACCTTTATCACAAAACCTTTTTTACCGTTAATTCGCCAAATTTTCTTATCATATGAAAACTTTTTAATGCTTAGCGTCAAAATGATTTTTTTCCCCTAAAATTAAAAAAAAAATTGATTATAATTTGTGGGTAAAGTGATGCTCTTTTTTTTTTAGAGGTTAACAAATAACTACTTCCAGATCGTCGCCCGCGTGGGGCAATTGTTAGAATATATTAAACGGTAAAACAATAAAAGAGATGACAGCTAAATAGTTTTTTTATGACATTTCAGAAATCAGATAGTTCAACTCCTATTTGTAATTTTGATGTAATTATAGGAATGATGTAACAATGCCTTGAATATGGATCTAAGGGTTAGGGTTAGGGTTTAGCTACTCTATTTTGTAAACTATAGGTTTCATATATATTTTTCATAAATTGATACAAATTTTTTTTTAACAAAACCAATGTGGTATTTTGATATGGTACATTCCTTTCATTACTCTATCATTTTGTGTAGAGGAAACAACATGACATTAAATGTAATTAAAACAGCTTACTTCATTTTAATCTCTAGTCTCTATGCGTTTAAAAAAGAAAAAAAACCTTGCAGTTTGATCCCATTAGTAAATTTCTTTTTTTTTAAAAAATAATGTGATATATGTAGCTCTTTCATTTGATCATAGATATATCGACTTCAAGATGCCTTTCTCTTAAATCGATTTAACTATGGATCCCAAAACGGTGTTATATCTGTATTATATAATAAGAATATAATAATAATGTAATATAATATAAAATATATAGAGAATATTCAAGTTTTGTAAATGTATCATAGAGTTATTTCTCGAGTGTGACAGGAGTTGTTTTTTAAATCTTTTCACAATTGCAAAGCACAATTGAAAATAAAAAAAAGTCCTGTCTCACGAGTGAAATGAATTCCACATTCAACTACAAAATAATGAATTTTCTGTTTATTACATTTTCTTTGAGTTGTCCTTTCGTAACAGTGTCATAGGCTGTGGCGTTATAGTTGAGCCGGTTGAGATGTCAGAGCTTCGAGAATGTGGAATTGGGAGGAGAAAAAAAAACAAAAAAACATTGTAAACATTGATTTCAACAGCATATTTGTAGAAACTTTGACAGTTTTGTCTATGTCAGGATGGTTAACTCAATTTTAACAGGCCAGGGAGTGGTTTTTTTTTTTTTTTTACAACACTCTTCGTGAAGGACGATGAAAAATCGAGTTTTGCTCCACTTCTGGTATTCTTTCATTCATGTACTGTGACAAACTATATCACTTTTATTCAATAAATAAATTACAGTATTCCACTTTGTTGAAAATGTAATATAATACAATATCATGTAAGGATTGGTGTATGCTACTTGCTTTTCATTAGTAAAATAAGAATGGAATTTTCTTATATTAATCTACAGTTTTAGTCCATTTTGAATATATATGCTCTCTCTAGGTATAATTTTTTTTTCTGATATTATATCGATGATGTATTCTTTTCTCAAATATTACCACATATACATTTGAATCCTTATAGAAGCGTATTTCTTCATATTAATACTATCAATTACAGAACTTTTTAACCAATTAGGTTGAGAGAACTTGAGTGATAAAATACCTATATAAATTTACAATAACACATGTACATGTAAATGTCTGAACATAACCAGAATTTGACACAGATTCATCTTCTCACCTGATCATGACATCTAAATATCTTTATTCCTTGTTGTTTACCTGTATTTATTTTTACTGATTTTTTCGCACCGTGAAGTGTGCAGTTCATGATAGATAGGGATAATAATCACAGTCATTACATCAATCACACTTGATGGTTAATTGTTAAAGAGGGTTTGTGAGAAATATCTAGTAGCTTGGGTTTTCTCAGGGTTTATATTTTAATTCGAAAGTACAACGATTTAAATTTTTTCCCAAGGTGGTCAGTTGTCATAGAATTATATCATTAAATAGGAAGGAAAAATGATTATCATTTCAATATTTGGGTTTAATAAGATCTATCCGAAATAAAATATGAAAAAAAACTATGTACAAATATATTGAATATTTTCTGTGACAAAGAAAAGCTATTTCTTACGTCATTTTTGTCTATTTGTATTGTGCTTCTAGGTTAAGCCTTTTATCCAATTTTTTTTTTTTTTTTTTTTTTTTTTTTTTTTTTTTTGCATTTTCACACACAATTTGATATATTTTATTGCTCTCTGTTCAAGACATCAAGCCAATGCCTGTCAAATTTATGCAGATCATAAATTACAATATGATTTTGCATTTTGAAATTATCTTTTGGAGTTCAGGCGTGTAAATAAATCTACAAACAATAGCAGTGTTGGAAAGTTTTACAGGTAAAATAGCAACTTTTTTGTGATCCACATACACACAATACGAGTATAGTATTTTTTAAGAACTAATGTTTATTCATTATTTAGATAAGGATATTTTACTATTTATATAACATATTTAGATTTTAATTATACTTTTTATGTTTTAAACAAATTTTTTTCAAAATTATGATGTACATATGTTGGAATCATATTCTAGTCAACTCTAGATCTACTGCTTAAAGTCCATACGGTTTATGTATGCTAAACCTACTTAAATCGTGTTGCTCGTATATATGTATAGATGTTGAAATTTTACCTTTGTAACATTAACCTGAGGAATTTTACTTTGGCTGAATCTCAGTTCTTGCAATATATGAGGTACTTTTAGGCATCAGTTTTCCACATATAAAAATGGCCGATCATTAAACTTTGCTTAAAAACATACGTCCATAAATAAACATATTTATTCTCAAACATAAATTACACGTTATCTTGATACTAGCTTGTATCTACTGAGCTTGAACTAATATCTTTAATCTGTCAGGTTCATGCATTACATTACCTTACTTTCTTGTGAAATAAACAAGGTCATAATGAGATGTACATTACATTTTTTTTAATATCAACAATGGCATATGTCTGTCGAACATCTTTTTACTTATATCATTATGATACATGGGTTGTGCATTAATGAATCACTAGAGGTCTTGGATTGCTGCATGTATTCTTGAATTCTCCGAAAGTAACAACTTGATTTGCAACACAATATGTTTCTTGTTGCATAAATGATAATCAGATTTCTAACACCTCAACTTACTATTTACCACTAGGGTTCTGACATAACTAAAACATATCTAAATTTGAATTTTATGAAGCAATGTTATTTTTATTCATTTTAATAATAATCATTGTTAATTTGTTGAAAATTTAGCAGAAAAATACTACGAACTTTTTTCAGTTTGTTTTTTTTACAAAGAAAAGAGAAATATTCGTACTTTAAAAAACCAGAAGTCTCTAACGTAGCTCTACTGGTTTGTACTGATAACAAAGGAAGAGAAAAGTAGCCTTTAGACTGAACTTTGACAACAACAATAAATTATGATAATAACAATATTCCGTTAAGTCATTTTGTGTTGCAAGTTTTATTAATCAGTAGGAGGAGTACCCTTTTGAAAGAATTTCAAAGACAGTTTTTAGTAACAATGGTCACACCATTCACCAAATACATATATCTCAATGTAGCCTACGCGGGTAAAACTTTTTATCGACATCAGACCGCATCTGTTCGAAGCTTAGTGTTTTTATAGAATTTCACAAAAATTTCTATTTTTTAGTCACCATATAAACATCTCTCACTGGACCAAAGGCTGATACACAGAATTATGCATATAAGGGTAGTTTACTCTTGTAGGCATTTTTATTGAATTTACACTAAATTTACGAAGGAGTAACGTTTTGTAAGAATTTCACAGAAATTTCTATTTTTAGTCACCATGGCAACACGTACCATTCATCAAAATCAAAAACCTATAAATAAATATTTGTATCCAAATGTTGTCTACTTGCTTAGAAAGTTTGATAAATCAGACTAAACTGTAGTACGCGTGGCGTTAGTAACCATTGCAATACCATTCATCAAAATCGAAAACCTCTATACAGAATCATGTATCTTAGTGTAATCTAGTTGTTTGTCAAGTTATGCTTAAACCAGACTAAAACTGTAGGAGAAGTATTTTGAAAAAAATTTGTTTGGTGGCAAAAAGACAGACAGACAAATAGAGACACAGACAAATGGAAGACAAAAACCTAACTATCACCTATCTATCTGACCAGTAGAACTAAAAACGATTATAAATGAAATAAAATAAATTAAACAAATTCAAACATGTTTCAATTAATGTTAATAAAAATCTCTTTGAAATTTATTTGAGTGATATGTATTTTCTCTTCCAACCAGTATTATTCTTGTAACCAGCTGTATAGTAAAACATTCTTATCTTGACAGTTTAAAAATAATTTCTATGATTTCTTTTGTTGTGAAAAAAGAGTATTTCCTTGACGTTTTAAATTTCCCTTACATTACATTGACTGGAATAACTGTTTACCCCTTTTCAGATGGAATGGAGTATGACGCAATTATAATGTACAGTGCTGATTCCCAGAGGGACACCAGGATTGCTAAGGACTTTCTGTACAGTTACCTTACACAGCATTGTGGTTTTAATGTTAAAGTAGAAGGACATCGTCAATGTGAGTGTCTTAAATGACAAGAGGAAAGTCTGTAAAATACTTGCTACTTTCCAAGTCAAATTTATTGAAATAAGATTTTGAAAATAAAAATTTGTAAGATAAAAAAGAATGCAAATTAATTTTATTATTTATTTGCAACTATTACTGGGAAAATTTTGAATCATCACTTATTGTAACTCCAGTAATTAAGATGAGAATTACTAATTTATTACTATACTTTTCACAATGCCCAAGTAAAAGTAGTAGTTCATATTAGAATTAATTGATAAAAATAATGCAATTATCATTTTTCTTTTCAGCTACAGATGAAAATATTAAAAACACAATTAAGAAAAGCCGCAGACTTATTCTTCTGTTATCCAGTGACTTTATTTACCAAGAATGGCCATCCCTTTCTGGTCAAATTTCGGAAGAGAACTTTTTAAAATTAAAAAAGCGGGTAGTACCTGTTCTTACAGAAGAGTCCAGTAAAAGTTGTATCGGATCTGATGTACGTCTCAAAGATCTGATTTCAAGAAGTGTCTTCATAATTTGGTCAGATGTGGAAGAGGATAAAGCGAGGAATCTAAAACGGATAAAATATTCTCTTCCGAAAAAGAGAAGGGACTTTTGTAAGAAAACAGACCAAGAAAAGGCAAAAGTAAATGTAGAAATTGTAAAAAATGGAAATACTCATCTCCAGAATGGACGTGAAAGCTATATTTACACAAATGGACAAAACGCTATCTCTAAGAACGAACAAACTTCTCTGAGTTCAGTCGACTTCAACCATAATCCCTATAATTTGCCCTATTATAAGGAGTAACACATACTGAAATATTGTGGTTGAATGGTAACTTGTAAAATTGATTTAAATTTACCTTTGATGTTTTTTTTCTACATAGCAAAATGTATAAAGACGCAAAATGTATAAACTTAGATTGACGTAAAATGTAAAAATCCAAAAAGTGTGTTTTGTTATTTGCGTTATTACGTATTTTCTGTGTTGACACCAAAGCAGAATGTAAAAATGTAAAATGTAAGACTCCTAAAAGTGTGTTATTGTATTTTGCGTTATTACATTCTGTGTTGATATCAAAAAATGCACGTTCACTTTGAAGTCATTAAAGGTAGATCTTAAAGGTAAAATAATAAAACTGTTACAGCTGTACAATTTTACAATATATGTAAATGGATTTGATACTTGAAACTAAACTCTAAAGAAAATGCACTAGGTTTTTTTAAATGGTTTGTTTCTTTGGTTCTTTTTTCCCATTAATTATTTATTTATTTATTGGATAGATCTCTGTTTGTTATCTCTTTTCATTTGAAGAAACAACAGAGGAAAGAGATAAAATATAGGGAAAGAAGCATTATCCTCAAAGTCGTTTTCTTCATCCTCAACATTTCTGTCTATTTTTTTCACTTTTCGCAAGTCTATTTTTCTCTGTTTATATCTGTCTGACTCAATTTTAGAAATATTGTATATAGCATCGTTTTACATTTCTCTTGTCTTCTCTATCCTTGTCTTTTCTCATTCGCCAGATCTTAGAGTTTGGGTCTTGCCTTATCTTACATTTCCCTTGGTTTCCTTGTCATTGTATTCTCTCTGTGTGAACTTAGAGTTTCCTTCTCTTTTCCTTTGTATGTATTTGCCTATAGCTTGTGCAAATATGAAATAAAGCATCAGAAACTAGAATTAAGTATTAAAAATCTGGTTGGAATTGATTCTATCTATTCTTTACACGTTTCTTGTATTACCTTTGTCCATAATATCGGTGTGATTTGCCTTTTTGCTTCAATTTTCTTAACATTTCTATAACTTTGCATTGATTTTGCTCGTCGTTTAATGTCGTGTTTATCATTAAATTACATTTAAGGCGAGTATCAAATTGTCTTGACTCGTGTTCCTAGTTTTAATCCTCGAAGCAATATGTGTAAAACATTAAAAATTATTTAATTTTCGAAAAAAGGTTGGTATTCTTTCATTTGTTTAGTCTTTTTCCATATTTTTTGTGTGCGTGTGGTTTGTTTGTTTTTTTTAAGTTAAAGTTTTGATTGTTTGTTTCTGTATTGTTTTTGTTTTTGTTTTGTTTTTGTTTGTTTGTTTGTTTGTTTGTTTTTTTTTTTTTTTTTTTTTTTTTTGGTTGTTTTTTTTTTTTGGGGGGGGGGGGGGGCTTTTTTTAAATTTCTTATGTTTTTGCATAATATTTGGAACAGAAAGTCCAATAGCCATCAATATATTTGTCTCTGCCGTAACTACTTAAGATTTAAAGTCTGCCTTTAGATTGCACATATTTTTTTCTTTTGTTGATCATGATGAAAAGGTAGTAATATAAGATACCTTGAACTGTTTTTGGTATAGAATCAGTTATGGGAATCTATGTCTTTTTTGTATCTTGGACGTCTTGTCATGTTCGTGAAAACATATTCAAAAAAGCTAATTATTTCAAATCACGTCTTTCTGTAATTACTCTTACGAGCCAACTGGATGTTTTAATGAGTAAGTAATTAGCCAGTAAATCATGATACTTGTTGCAGTTCCGAAAAGATGTGTGTTTTGTTCCAAATGTAATTAGCATGAATTATTTTTATCACGTATCTAATTATGAAACATCATTAGATTGCTATGATTTTACCATCACATTCATCATAAACTCTTCTTTCATTAATTTAAGGCTTTACTAAAAATGCCATTCCAAGAACATAAAAGCCACACTAATTTTGCTATAGTGTTAATTTTTCTTACTTTCCAAAACTTAAAGTTTAGATAAAGTTAAAAATTCAATACACTGCATGTTCCACAGTTGAATTTTCTTTACAATATTCCAATTTCTTCAAGTGAAAATATTAGATTAACATGTCAAACAACTAATTAATAATGTATATAAATATCTAAAATATATAAATGAAACATATAATCTATAACAAAGATTTTGTTACCGAATTTCTAAACATATTGATAAGGTCTTTAATTATCGATTGGTGTTGAATTGGCATTTTGGGTTACTTCCTTTGATGACAATTCCGGATCTATCCAGCATAGTAAATGACAAAATATGATGAATGTGTCATAGATTGTGGAAAAGGTCGTAATAACTTTAGTCTGACATCAATTAAAAATGAGGTTAGTTGTATAGATTTTTCCAGTGTGAAAAAATAAACATATAAAACGTATTAATCAAAGAATAAAAGAAAAACTAACAGAGGAGAATCATTGTATAAATATTGTATGTAGTTGAGGGTAACATTGAAAATTTTCACTCCAAGACCCCGAGGCGCAGTCGAGATTGACAATGGTTTTCGAGGAGTGAATGTAATGTTACCCTCAAATACGTTTAATATTTATTATATCATACTGAATGTTTTATACAAATACATAAAACAATCAATTGTACGCGCATAAATTCTGCGTAGTCATTTTTTTTTAAATAGTATTGTTGACTGTTGCTAATACTATTACTCTGCAGGATCTGGTTTTCTCATTCAGAAGGTAGTAGCGTTTTTAAACAATTGTTTCTCGACAAATCGGATATAACTAATTTACATGAAAGTGTAATATTTTAAAATGCTGCATCAGAAACAGTGGCAACATTGTTTATTAACAAACATCATCACTAAATGTCAAATCTGTATACCATGTTTTGTTTATTAACAAACATCATCACTAAATGTCAAATCTGTATACCATGTTTTGTTTATTAACAAACATCATCGCTAAATGTGAAATCTGTATAACATGTTTTGTTTATTAACAAACATCATCACTAAATGTGAAATCTGTATACCATGTTTTGTTTATTAACAAACATCATCACTAAATGTGAAATCTGTATACCATGTTTTGTTTATTAACAAACATCATCACTAAATGTGAAATCTGTATACCATGTTTTGTTTATTAACAAACATCATCACTAAATGTCAAATTTGTATACCATGTTTTGTTTATTAACAAACATTATCACTAAATTTCAAATCTGTATACCATGTTTTGTTTATTAACAAACATCATCGCTAAATGTGAAATCTGTATACCATGTTTTGTTTATTAATAAACATCATCACTAAATGTGAAATCTGTATACCATGTTTTGTTTATTAACAAACATCATCACTAAATGTCAAATCTGTATACCATGTTTTGTTTATTAACAAACATCGTCACTAAATGTCAAATCTGTATACCATGTTTTAATTATTAACAAACATCGTCACTAAATGTGAAATCTGTATACCATGTTTTGTTTTTTTAACAAACATCGTCACTAAATGTGAAATCTGTATACCATGTTTTGTTTATTAACAAACATCATCACTAAATGTCAAAACTGTATACCATGTTTTGTTTATTAACAAACATCGTCACTAAATGTCAAATCTGTATACCATGTTTTGTTTATTAACAAACATCATCACTAAATGTGAAATCTGTATACCATGTTTAGTTCAATTCATTTTCAGACTGATGCATATCTTTTTTTTAAATCAATCAAACAAAGACAACAAAAACATCGACATTGCAAAACTCTTCTGGACCGATCTTGTAAAGTATGCTTTTCCCTCTAAAATCTTTCCCCTCGGAAAACTGGATCTAGAGTAGAATTCATCCTCCCGGAAAATAGATTCTAGAGTAGGATTTCATCTAAGGAAAAATTACTCTAGAGTAAGATTTTCCCTTGGAAATCCCACACCAGATTCAATTTTCAGGGGGAAATCCTACTCTGTGTAATAGTTATAGAGTGCAATTTCCCCCAGAGCCAATTTTCCCCCAATAAAATATAATGGCTGTACTTATGTATGAGGGGGGAGGGCAACACATTTTTAGAAGTTTCCCTTCTTCAAAATGGCAACCAGTTCTATTGAAAGCATAAAAATTGAATTATTAAATCTCATTTTTCTCAATAACTGGCTAACGAATTCTTTTGAAGCATTAAAATCTTATTCATTTCCTCTGGTTTCTGAGAAAAAAGAATTCGTACAATGTAATCGGTTGGACAAAATTTGTATTTGAAATACTTAGTCAAGAGTAATTTTTGTCATTTGATCAATGCATCGAGTACATGTATACAGAAACAAATACTGACGACATAATTTTTTTTACATGCCCTTAAATAATCGAAACTGAGCACTAAAGTCTTGTTATTTCTTACTCAACCAAACAAAACCTCTGATTTGATTTAAACTTTCAATGAATTGCACTTGGACTTGCAATAAAGTATGTATATATTTATATACATGTATTTTATACATTGCAAAAAATCTAAAATCATAATTTATGGAAGACAGGCATCACTTAACCTGCAAAATGAACAAAATTCTGGTTTAAACATATCGCATCTTCCCATTCTTATGTGCACGTCATGTACGTATAAAGTGCAAGGAAAAATTTCAAGGTTTATGCACCAAGATCATGGGAGGAAGTAAAATGATAAATACAAAGTAACTATTATTTTTTTATACAAAGGGGCAATTATTCTGCTTATGATTTTCTTTTAAGGATTTCTAAATTTCCTTCCACACTCGGGTTTAAAAGAGGTTAACTGACTGTGTACATGATATGGTGAGCAGATTATTTGCTTATATTAATAAACTTAATTGCGTATTCTCTTATTTCAATTTGAATTAAATTGTTGGTTGAAACAACAAATCGTTTTAAAGACTAATATAAGAAGTTACCTTTGGAAATCTTGTATTTCTACAACTATAAAAAGCATGTTTTGTAATTGGTCTACAATGTCTGTCATTTGGTTTAAGAAACGTTTTTCTGTGCAAAATTTATTTTACACTTCAGAAAACAGTTCTAGGATAAGGGATAAAGCGTGTTTTCTAATTGGTCTACGTCTGTTGTTTTATGAAAATGAATTAGCACAGAAATATGTGTACATTAGCAGAATTTACCATACCCTTAAGAGGAAAGTTGTTGTAGAACCAGGCCCGTAGGAAGCAATTTCACTTTGAGGGGGCACAACCATACAAATTCCTTGACAAGCAAAAAAAAAAAAAAAAAAAAAAAAAAAAAGTCATCAGACGTTATTATTGAGGGGGGCACAAGCATGTAGTAGCTATGTTTTCTATAGTATTCTATATATCTGCAAAATTATTGGGGGCACGCCCCCCCCGTGCCCCCCCCCCGGTTCCTACGGCCATGAGAACAGTTACAAGATAGGAAATGTTATTTTACCGTCATAAAGTCTTTTCAAAGGTGTTCCGTTTGCTATTTTTAACAAGATTCTTATGGCTTATTTGCTTTAAATACTAACATCTATACTTTTGATGATTTACTGGAACAAAATTCTTAATCAATGGATAAAGAATTATTAGATTAGATAGATTAAAGAATTATGTCTATTCAAATCATTTATTTATGCTACTTTGAGTACAGGAATTCTTCTTAAAATAAATGAAAGAATAAAAAAGAACATAGGGAAACGAAAAAGATCAATTGAACTGAATTTGTTCTTTTCAACACTTTCATTCTGAATTCTAACTGGGAAATTTGGTATTGGAATATCATAATTCCGGATGTCGATTTTTACTTTAAAAATTAGGACTTTTGTAGCCGTTTGTTTTCTTTAAGCAATGTCATTTCTTTGTAATTTTGATGATTGAAAAATCACACATATAATTACCAATACATCGTTGTAGAAATTTGCACACGAACTTTAAAAGCTAGCAGTTTTATTTTCAAGCGTTTATTTGATGGTTATATTACATAAATGTGGTATTACAGAATTATCATATTATGCAGTAAATGCCAGCATGTTTAATAAAACAAAATGACATTGCAAGGTACCTTCGACTGAAAAACACAGTAGAGATAGTCACTTAGCTGTGAAGATGAAGGATAACAAGTGAGTAAACTATTGACATGGGCTTTAATTTCTATATGAAAAATATATAAAGTGCTGATGATGAAATTTGTGTAGTATGTTAACATTTTCTTCATTCTTTGCTGTATCAGCATGAACAAAACCTGCTGTTTTGGCGACAAAAGACAGTGTACCACATTTGCCGGGGAAATAAGAGCAGGAACTATAACTAAAGAAGGTGTCATCGGTAAAAACAAAATAACTAAAGTAGCATATCATCTACTTATTACGTGACAATCTTTTGCATGTTGGAGGTTGCAAGCAAATGGGAGCATACAGTTAAGTAACATAGTATTTATTTGCTAGGACTTTTAAACATTCTCGAGTCCAATGCTTTCTACGCTTAACTTATATATATATATATATATATATATATATATATATATATATATATATATATATATATATATATATATATATATATATATCGAACTCGATGGGACTTTAGGGAATCTAAAGTCTTTTATATCAGACACCTTTTTAATTTTTTTTTAAATGTATAGGTTAAATATTTAGATATTTTTAAAACTTATTTTACTTTCAGTTTTTGTTCTCCTCATCATTGCCATAGTCCTTCAAGTGTTTCAGTTTTACATGTTCAGAAAGAGATGGAAAATAGGGTAGGTTCCTATTACACATTACCAAGCATCAATCCTCATCTATAGAATCGTACTCACAGTGGTGTTAAAATTGATTCTATGTTTTAGGACAGCCCCCTGGAAAAGAAACCGGATCCAATCTCAGACCTCGGGACGGGATCAGGATGTGGCTGAATGTATCCCAAAAAGTGGTAATTTATTGTGTACATACATACTAGTGATTTTTTTCTTCATTGAAATAATATAAAGCCTGTTGGTCGAGTTCAGCTCAACTGAGTTAAACGCCTTCTCATCATATTTGTCTGTTTGAACAGCCGTTTGTCATATTTTTATAGGTGCCAATTTAAAAGTTTTCAAACAATTACTAGCAGGTCACTGTCCGTCCAAACATTTTTGGATCTTTGTTATTATATCTAGTCTACTGGGTAGGGTGGGGGATTCTGTCGTGTGATACTGTTTTAAATCACCATACACGGTTCATGCATCTTTCTTAGTGGCACTTGCATACTGTTTATATATGACATAAACACAGTTATGATATTCCGACAATTGAAAAGTAAATTAAACCTGTATTGTAGATGGGTTCTTTAACATATGTGTATGTGTGTTCCAATGTAATTGTGTGTTAACTATTTACACCATATTATGTTGCATACATATCTGACTTCAGTCTACCTTTTGAAGTTCAGCAGAGAGTTTTCATTAACGGGACACTAAAATAAAGACTGTGGCCTAATAAACAACTGAATGTAAAATGAAGAAAATCGCAAGCACAAATAAATTTACAACTTGATAAGTTTTCAAAATTCTAAAAGCATCGTCTCCATATTTTTCTGCCTAAATTCTTGTATGAATAAAAAGAAATATCATATAAAGAGAATTGATATACTTCTATTAATTATGTCTACTATCATCATTTTTTTTAATTCTAACCAGAAGACAACAAAGCCCCAAAAGATGACGAAGATTCATCGGGGAAAAAGGTGGTTGAATACGTCACCTCTTACACTGAAGAACAAAACCCTGAGAATCGACCTGGGATTAAAAAACCCCAAAAAGATGTTTGCGTAAATAATGTGAAAGCACTCAGATATAGCAAACAAAGAAGTAATGAAACGGTGTACTCCAATAATTCTTTGATATATCCCTTGGTCCAAAATTCCCAAGAATCATCTCCCTCGACAAAGGAAAAAATTGAAAAGGAGTACGATTATACCAGTTTTGCTATGGTACAAGGTCCTGATAGAGCGTCTGCACCCTTTGTAGAGGACAAAAAAGAATCCCCACTGCTGGACCATAGGGGAAGAACTGTCAGAGAAAAACGCCCAACACCTTGTAGAAATCAAAAAATTAGGAAAGCTCCGAATCCAATGCGATCTAAGATTCCCAGTCCTCCGTCACGAATGTGCTCCAAACGACAAAAGAAAATAAAATCTAGAAAGATGGAAAAAACTGACTACCTAGACTGGGAAACTTGTCACACAAATGTGGTAAAGAGCACGCGCAATCTCAACACCGGGTGTATTGCGCCTAGCACAAGAGACCGTGGCGCTACTAGAAGCATGTCACTAGGTATAACCTCTTCCATGAGTTGGAATATCAACAATGACTTTGACGACGATTCAGATACAGATGACAGCAAAGAAGAATTTACCCCCCAGTTAACTTGGTACATACAAAGGCTTAAGGAAAAACACCCATACATATTACAGAGGTCTAAAACGGGGTGTGTAGGACGAAAAAAATACTCTGATACGCGTGAAACCAAGACATTAGGTTCCAAATCTTCACAAAGTCTTGGTGTCATGTTTATACTGGATAAGAATAAAAGTGTCAGTGTTGAAGATGACCTTGAAAAGAGAAGCTCCGCGGATTACTTAGCCATAATAGACGTACCAAGTCACAATGAGCAAGAGAAGATATTGGAGGAGGGGGTAATACAAACAGAAGCTGCTCTTTCATGTATGTCAGAGGAAAATGTGGATAATGCACAATGTCAAATCACAGTGATGAAGTCTACGTTGAAATCAGACAGGCCTCTTGTTAAAGGACCACAAACAGCGGAAGAGGTGACTTATGTAAATAAGGAAGTTGTTCGTATGGCTGATTGCAATCTTGTTCACGAAAGAACAGGGAGTGCTGTTCTTAACATGCGTAACTCAGAAGAACTACTGAATTACACAGAAGACAAAACCGATCTGTTCACAATGGCGTGTGACAGCTTTGTTTGAAGTGAAATGTAATTTTCCTTATCTTATAAAATCGAATTACACACGTTACAAATAACATAACTTTCTTACCAAGCTTACTCCCTCCTATTCAAGGGTTAATTGCTTGAAGTAAAATCAACATGAACGATTTTTAAATATATTTTGGAGTACACAGAGGAAGAACGTGTGAATACTAAAAACGACACAACTGCACTATCTCCCAACAAAGAAATGGAAACATTGATTGGCATATGGTTTAGAACCTCATTCCAAGAATATAAAACAATACTCGTTCTGACTTTATTTCACTCCCGCTTGAAAAGCGGAGGTATAAAGTGACGGGGGTGTCCGTCCGTACGTGCTTCCGCCTGTACGTCCGAAACACTTGGGGGTACTCTTCTTTTATCCACACATACCACTAAATCAAATTTATTGAAACTTTCACAGAATTTTTTTTACGTACTGCTATTGTGCACCTCTTATTTCTCGTTCCGATGGGACAGATATCTGGGGTTTCTCAAAGAAAAACCTGTACACTGCCATTCTTTCTATAATATTAGGGGCACCCTTCTCATCTACATCTCGTATACAACTAAATAAAATTTAATGAGACTTTACAGAATCTTTATTACACAGTGCCATTGTGCTGCTCCTATCTCTCGTTTCGATGGGCAGATGTTTGGGGTTTCCCATAGCACACCAAGGACGCTGCCAATCTTTCTAAAATATTGGGAGTGGGGATGGGGGTTACCCATCACTTTTCCACAAGTCCTCCTAGACCACTGAATAATTTTAATAAGGCATTTATCGGATCTTTATGCCATTGTGTACTTCCTATTTTTCGTTTCGATGGGACACATATTTCGGGTTTTCCATAGCAAAAAAGGACTTAATTTGCTATTATACTCATATGGGTGCGAAGGGTATCATTTTGTGAGCACAGTGCTCACAGTACCTTTAGTTAATATATACGTTGTATTTCCTCTTATACTTGTAGTAACAAAATATCTTGATCTTTTACTGCAATATGATTAAAATCAGACTTCTTAGATCCGCGCCGTATACATTCTGAGTAAGAAGTTTGATTTTAAACTGCCTTTTACTGCTGTACTTAATAGGTTATTGTAATGTTTTTGAAACGGACCTAGATGTAGAATGTACCTTTATGAAAACAGTAAAGATATTAAAATTTTAATGAGTGCATACATAGTTTTTAGTATGATTGCATTGCCAAATTAATTGCGTTGCATGGGAGAAATACATCGTGTCTACAGTCTTTTCATGTACAAGACTAACTAAATATGAAGAACTATGATTTTTTACACGGAAACCAATGTGGTTTTAGATCGAGTTATATATATTATTATATAAATATATATAGAGAGAGAGAGAGAAAGAGAGAGAGAGATACGAACAGTATTCATGCTCAGTCCATTTAAACAATACAAATCGGGAGCAGTGCAAACACGAACCTTCAAAAACATCAGAGATGGGATCTGCCATGGAGGAGTGAGCATCCCCTGCCGACCGGTCACACCCGCCGTTTGCTCCTTGTCTTGATCGGGTCGATTATTCAATGTGTAAAAATGGTCTAACAATTAGTATGAAAAACGTCAGTCAGCATATGACTTAATGATAGATTGTATTCGCTGACAAGTTCATTGTATCGACCATAGAACTTACGAAATGACGACTTTAAACGAGACAGCTGATATTCTTGTTTCATCAACTTGTTTGTCAATAACTTACCTCATTTTAGAAATTGTTCATTCGTAGAGCATGCTCTTGTGTATCGAATTAACTGAGAGATTTACACCCCAAATGCAGGTGATAAGGGTATATTGCTACATAAGTAAGGGAAGTTGACGATTGAAAAGTTAAAGTCATCACGTTTATCATAAACCTTTGTTGTTAGATCACCATTGACGTCTTTTTCTAGTAAAATATCCAAATATGAAACGGATGTGTCAGACTCTGTGGTATCTTTTATTTCAAGTTCACCGGGATATATCATGTCGACATATGAATAGAAATAACTATTGCTAATTGATAATACGTCGTCGATATATCTAAATGTCGAGTTGAAGGCCACAGCAAGAGATTTCTTTTTCTTATGTCTAAGATTTTGAATAAATTCTGTTTCATGTGAATACAAATACCGGTATAGGTCTGCTAATAACGGGGCGCAATTGGTACCCATGGAAATTCCAACAGATTGTTGGAAGACCTGGTCTCCAAAAACCACATAGATATTGTCAATCAGAAACTCGAGCGTCTTTTTAATATCAACTTCAGAGTATTTGTGTGTACAATCACATTGTTTTTTAACAAATAATTTTGCAAATGACCAATGACAAGGAAAGTAAATTTCTGAGTTCCATTTTTTATTGAAAAAAGCAGCTCTCTATAATGTCAAAAACTCTGGACTTTAATTTATCGTGGTGAATGGTTGTATACAAAGTTGAAAAGTCGTAAGTTTTTATGTTATTGATTTTTGGTAAAGTTTTGTGATTTCATATTTTCGAAAAGTTCCTTGGAATTTTTAAGTATCCACATCTGATTTACACCACTTCTCGAATATATTGTTGCACAGTACTCCTGAAGTTTCTCCTTCACTGCTGTTAATATTTTAGTAAGAGGTAAAGAAAGAGGCTTGGTAGAACATATACAGGAACCCGCTATGTATCTCTGTTTGTAAGGATTTTTATGAAGTTTGGGAATCCATTAAAAATATGGTATTTCAAATTCATTTTGGTTGTTGAAAATATATTAAAAATATTCAAAACTGACATATGATTTTGAAGAATTTCCTCCTTAGAAAGGGAGCTATGGGTATAAGTTGAATTGTCACTTGTAGAATTAAATCCCAGTTCTAAAATACAATTAAAATAATGAGTCTTACAAACAAAGACAATGTTGTTACCTGCTTTGTCAGCAGGGTACCAGTACATACTGATCGTGTAATCTAATATCTAATTCTTTTTTCACTTCTGAATTATTGAACACAGAAGAATAGATGGTTTTCATATTTCTCCTCAATCGCTTAATGCTAGATTTTAACATACATCTGATACATTTAATCTGATACATTTACATATTTACTATGTACACCCTGAGTTAATATTTACAATGATAAAGAAATTGTGCATTCTCTGACATTGATTCAAACTGATCTTGACGAGATTTGGAAAGTGAGACTGAGAGTGGCAAAAACTTGTATAGAATTGTGTTACTATTAAATGACTCTTTCATTGATGTGAACATTTCATTTGGTCTCCCACTTTGCTCGGGACGAAATCTTATGGTGCTTATAAAATGAACATCCTTTGAAGAAAATGGAACATTGTCGATCAGAAACCCATGGTGAATCTTGCATACATGCACTTATTGAAGTGTATGCAAGATTACTGAGTAGACGTGGGAATTTAGCTAGGTAGTGTCCACATCACAAAAATATTAAATTAGCTGGCGTGATCATCTTACAAACAGCGGTAACAAGTGGTTATAGAATACAGTAAATCTTTTCTAATCCGGACACCACTGGTTCCATAGAAATTAGCCAGATAAGACAACATTCTGGAATAGATCACATTTTATACAACTGAATTTTCTGAAGAGGACTTAAAGTTTACATCGTATCAGGCAAGATTTCGAAATACACAACATCCGGATTAGACAAGTTTCACTGTACATATGTCAAAGATACAAAAAGGTATTAATTGTAAGGTAAAACAAACTAAAAAATATGTACATAGGACATGAATGCCTCGTCCAAAGTACATTTGTATTGCAATATGAAAATACTTCTGTCTGAGTAGATGCAGAAGGTAGGCTATTAACAAAGGTTGTGGGAATGTTTTGTTTCTGGAGGTAGTAAATAATATGCAAGGAAAACATGGATAGTATAATTTTGAAATGACAGCTTAAATCGTGCGCAATAAATATATACATATTTTAATGGCGAGCTACAGAGAGTTGCAACGACGGACTGAGCTAACAGTAAAATACGATGAAAGATAGAATCATTTGCATTTTCTTTTCATATACAGAACTTATACCTTTAGTACGGTTGTCTTTTGTAGCTTTAACAGTATGTAGTGATGATTCATTCTTTTTAACAAGCATCTAATGAAGTGTCCCTGTTTTTATATTATATTTTTATGTATATAATCTCTTTAGAAGGTGTGGTTGAAATGCTGCAATACAGATCTGCATGTATATGGAGATGTACGAAGTAATCCTTTATGGGATAAAATAAGATGAAGAGAAAAATGGGGGGGGGGGGGGGTGACTTTCAAGGTCATTGGTAAAGATCTGAATATTATGACACAGTTGAAAACTCTCACCAATTTGTATCAGTATATAAAGTTTGAAGAAAATATCTTTAACATCTTCTTTGAAACTAAGGTAATGAAAAATGATGAATAGTAAGGATGAGCTCATATGTAAGGTGGTGAAAAATTAAAGACATTTGTATAGTTCTCACCAATATGTATCAGTGTATGAGTTTTGATAAAAGTACAACTAATTTTTATGAAACTGCACTGCATACAAATTGAGGAATAGTAATTAAGGTCAGGTCATAGGGAAGGTCAAGGTAAAATATTTATGACAGTTGAAAACCCTCTGTCTCAGTACTTTGAATCAGAGAATGAAGTTTAAACAAAATATCCTGAAAAGCTTCCTTGAAGTAAGTTAAATGCAAAATAAAGAATACTAAGGTCAAGGCCAAAGAGAAGGTCATGAACAAAACAGATTTGCATAGTTCTCACCAATATATGTCAGTGTATGAGTTTTCATGAGTATCATAAATGAGTTCTTTGAGATGAAGCTAAATGCAAATTGGAGAAAAGTGAGGTCAGGGTCATAAGTAAGGTCAAGGTCAACATTTTTGACACAGTTGATTAGCTCACATCAGCATTTATAGTGTATGATCTTTGATGATTATATCTTGAATAGTTTTGTGTAAACAGAGCTTATATAAATGCTAAATGAGATATTGTTAGATCAAAGTCATAGAGAAGGTCAAGGTCAAACATTTTTGCTACAGTTGAATAGCTGTACCAATATGTATGTATTTGATAAACCTTTGAAACTGAGCTCAATGCAAAATGTAATGAACAGACAGATGAAAGGATGGAAGAAGAGACAAACACTCTAATGCCCCTACTATAGATAGTAACACTGTAACATTACACAATGCCCCTACTATAAATAGTAACACTGTAACATTACACATTGCCCCTACTATAGATATTAACACTGTAACATTACACATTGCCCCTACTATAGATAGTAACACTGTAACATTACACATTGCCCCTACTATAGATAGTAACACTGTAACATTACACATTGCCCCTACTATAGATAGTAACACTGTAACATTACACATTGCCCCTACTATAGATAGTAACACTGTAACATTACACATTGCCCCTACTATAGATAGTAACACTGTATCATTACACATTGCCCCTACTATAGATAGTAACACTGTAACATTACACATTGCCCCTACTATAGATAGTAACACTGTAACATTACACATTGCCCCTACTATAGATAGTAACACTGTAACATTACACATTGCCCCTACTATAGATAGTAACACTGTAACATTACACATTGCCCCTACTATAGATAGTAACACTGTAACATTACACAATGCCCCTACTATAGATAGTAACACTGTAACATTACACATTGCCCCTACTATAGATAGTAACACTGTAACATTACACATTTTTGACAGATAAATTCATCTTACTTTCCTTCAAAGAAACAATCTAATACATCACTTTTTATGTACTTTATTAGAGATGTGTCATATGAATCATTCAAACTCTCACACTTATCAAAATTAATATCACATTGTTTTTCTTCAATAAGAAAATAATATGATCTATGTATTATCAATATAAAAAACTACCAATATGTAGACTCTTCATGTGACAAAATTGTAAAAGTATTTTATAAACACAATAACAAAACAATAACAAAACAAATAGGTAAAACAAGGACATCTTCAAAAACAAAAGAATTTTTATCAAATACCAATTTCAACAGACATCATGTTTTTCCTCAAGTCTTAATGTTTTAATTTATACCAGTAATAAAAATTCCAGTCATATCGTGTAACACTTCACAGTTAAATAGTATAAAATTTCAAAAAAGTTCTCTTGAGAAATAAAGTCTTATGTAATCTAAATTTGAAATTTAATTCAATCTAATTTGAAATTGATCATTTGCCCCAAAAATAAAAGAGGATTTCCAACATTCCTTTGTATATATTCTTACATTCATTTAAGCATTGTCATTGCTCAATTAAAAAATGATTTTTTTTTTATGCACATGATTTGAAATATTTTTCAATAAACCTAGACACACTTCTTTGAACCATAAAGATATATAATAACTATACATGATACATGTACCAGGTAGTTATTTTGTATTCCAAAAACACAGCTGTATTTTGCAAGACCATGTCAGGGTCAAAATAAGCACAGATTGAAATTAAAATATAACCAATATAATAAAAAATAGAATGAAAAATAATAGTTTTTCTGGGTTGTTAAGATAAAAAACTTCTTGATTCTATATCTTCTTGTTGTCAAAGTAAGAATGTGGTATTAGAAAATGTACTTAGAGTTTAAAATTCCACAAGGTGTCAGTCATAGTAAAGTTTGAGGTAGGCAAGCTTTCTGTGGTATTTCCTTTCTTCTTTTGTACTGTATAGCTGCACAAAAAATAAGAACATTTAATACTGTGATAATTTAAATATTTAGATGTACGTGTATAATACCATTTCACTGCATAAAGTTAGAGAAAAGGCCATCCAAAATAGTGTGATTTAGATTACATTAATTTTCTGAAATCTTGATCTCCAGATAAGATTAATATTTTTTTTCTCTCAGATCACTGTGGAATTAACTAATGTATTGTTTATGTATTATCTTGAGTTTGAATTCATCCCTATCAAATATGGAACATGAAATTTCATCATAAATTTCTTCTGTCATAATCTGATTCAGCATAATCAAGAGAAATCTAACATAGTTTAATTGATACCTCTTCTGTATTTTGTCCTATTGTACTTTGTACTGATATTTCTGGGAGGTATACAGTAATAACATACCTTTTCTGTATTTTGTCCTATTGTACTTTGTACTGATATTTCTGGGAGGTACACAGGAGAACCACCAAAGGATTGGTGCCACTGAACTTTACGGTTCTTTGGAATTTCATGCTCATATGTTCCAGGACTATAAAAAAGGAATACAAAGTATAATATATCTGAAGATTGCTTTTGAATCACAATATAACCCCCACTCTCATGGATTGAAATTCCCTCACCCTGAAAATGTTGTAATTAACTTCTACAGATATGTCTTTCATCAAATGTTAAATCAAATAAATATAAACTGATTATTTTCCTTAAGTTTTAATGGAAAGTTTGAAATCTATGACTGTAAATATATATAGCAATAATGTTATGAACAGAAAAAAAAAATCAACAATTACATGGTTAGAAGTGTTTCTAACAGGTTGTTTACTAAATTATACCAAATGTTGTTAAATCGTGATTTTATATATATACAGTTTATGGTCCATGCTTTTTTATGATAAAGATGCTCTTTTATCACATTGCATAAATGGTAATCAAAAGTCTAAATTTTGAAACTTATTTGTACCCATTCATTAATTATTTCATATATGTATGAATTCATTCTTATACAATGGAACCATAGACTGACTGTATGGGATTGAAAAAATGCATCAATGTACCCTGGTAAAACATCCACAATGTCTCGTTTATAAATGGGGAATCTGTCGGCACCAACTAGAAATGGTTTCTGATCTGTCTCAAATTCCTTAAGCATAGAATTTTTCTGCTGATATTCTGTAGGACATGGTGTTTCAAACTGAAAAATAAAAATGAAATGCAAGAATTTTATTGCTGAAATATTGTAAACTCGAAAGTACATAGGGTTCTAAATCTCTTATTTGATATTCTTAAACTTTTAAATTTTAGTATTTTCAACAATATGCTTCTGAAAATCGTGACACATTTTCTGCCATGGGAAAAATTTCACATGACCTTTGAAAAATAACAATAACTTTGAATATAAACTCTGTACATCATCTTATAAATTGACAAAGTTAAGCATGACAAATGTAAATTTTCTACCAAAGTTTAGCCTGCTGACAGACAGACAGACTGACAAACAAAAAGGAAGACTGACAGTACACAATGACTCCTGCTTTGATCTTGAGACCTAAAAAAAATTCTAAAAGAGATTGCACATTACACAAGTCATTGAAACCTACCACTACTGTTCTAGGAAATCTCCGAGAAGTTCTTGCTCCTAGTGTATATCCTTTTGTGCTGTTAATGTTGTGTTCAATCTGGTACATGAAGCTGGTTTTCTAATAATAAATCAGAATGATATATGTAATTTACTTGTTGGTTCTAAAGATAATAAGTTTTTCATAAACTTGTCTGAACCTTAAATATTATGCTGATATATTCAGAATATTTACACACTTCTGTGAACTGAACTTTATCTTTTTGGGGGGGAAGGAGAGGAGGTATTTTGTTATCAGATTCAATTCGATCATCACAACTGTTATTAGATATTACAATGTATGTTTAACTGCAGTTTGAAGGTTCATCAAATGATGATGACATGCCTTTTAAAATTAATTAAATAATTGTGAAAGCAACTGAATATTTATGGCATGAATTTATATTTCCAATATTTTCTACACATATATCAAAGATTACTTACATCCTCATTTTCATAACACCCAGGTCCTCTGTGAGGAGCTCCTCTTAATGGAACTATTTCATTCCCAAATCTGTTTGGAGGCATTTTAACAGGGAAAAGCTCCCTGTCCATAGTGGTCATGAAAGAAACCTTTTGTTTCTTTTCCACTGCAAAATGTTTATAAAATATTTTTTTTAAAAGTTATGCACATGTAAACTGTTTAATTCAAATTAACTTTGTTTGGTTTAACTTGAAATTATCAGTTTACTTGCTGTAAATAAAGAAATAGAAAGATGTATGACAAATTGACCATCTCTCTTGTCATTTGTCTCACATTCTGCAATAATATTTTCAAAATTGATGAACAATTTTCCCATATAAAACTTTTAGAAAGAACAAAAATGTTTTTTTTTGTTTGTTTGTTTGTTTTTTAAACCCAAACTTTTAGGTCTTTATATAGTCATGATAGATCTAGTAATATATGTTTATTAATTATACATGTATAGTATCTTTGTTTATAATTTAATTTTGTTTGTATTCTAGCCTCTGATTGGTTAATATCCAAAAAGGAACACAAATTATTTCTGTATAACCTGGTTTGGTATGGGGACACCCCCCCCCCCCCCCCCTGACAACCAGCTGAATCATCTGTATCCATACAATCCTCTCATTTCCAGTCCTCGGGATTCATGGAAAATTTCAGATTTAATGAATGTACGTTTAATTTCAAACAATAATTCGATCTTACCACATGTAAACAACCAACATGGCTGCTAGGCCTATGTATCAGTTTTTACCTCCCCTCGATTCCCATCACTTCCGTTACTTCCGTTACTACGGTTGTATTATTGAGCGGCAAATTTGAACTAATAAAAAGTAACGAAATTTTACACCCATAGTTATTTAATGATTTTAAAATTAAATTATAAGGAATGACTCTAATTCTTGGCCAAATTATTCGCGTATAACCTGGTTTGGGTCAGTTTACGCTGTTTTATAATCCGCTTCGCGGATTATAAAGCGTAAATTGACCCAAACCAGGTTATACGCGAATAATTTGGCCAAGAATTAGAGTCATTCCTAAAATAATGCTGAGTGATACAAATGAGTGTTTTGTTCATCAGTATTCAGATAAATTAAGGAAAAGTGATTAAATAAAAATATACTTAATAATTGCATGACACAGGATTTTTCATTTGAATCAAAGATTTTTTTCATTGTAAGAATTAGACAAAACGGAGAACAATAAGAGAAAAAAAAAAACTTACTTGTGAAAGATGAATGGCTACACTGAGGAAATGCGGACTGATACATTGATCATCAACCTTACACTAACTGTACTATGAAATTATTGTGCTCATATAAAACATATATCAATTTTCAAGAAAATTACTCACCCTCCATCCTGCTTTAATATGCTCACAACAACAGAAATGTATTTAAACTTTTTTTCCAAAAATACTATTTTTTTCACTTGTATGCGTCGATGTTGCTATGATCTATGCGCAAGCGTACTGTAATACTAAACTTCCGGATCCGATATTCCAACCGGTGATGGAAAAATAGAAGCAAACGGCGAACACCTGAAGAAAATAACGGGAAAATGAATTGACTATTATAGAAGCAATGAAATTTTTGCCATGGATGTCTGAAGATTATCTAGAAGATGAACTAACACGAGGAAACAACAATAACAATTTAATCGAGTTGTAAGTTGAGTTATTAAACATCCACAAGGCACAACGCAGAAGTGCCTCGCAGCCTCTGTCGTGCATGAAAGTGTCCCTTGAAATCAATTTAATCGACAAGATAAGATTTTGACATTCTCTGTCTTTTTTTTAATTGTATTGTCTGACAGGGGGAGATTATTTCAGTATTTCATTCAGTGTCTGTCACTACCAGGAGAGAGAGAGAAGGGGGGTTAACATACATTTACTTAATTTTCCTTTGTTTAATAATTTACAAAAGCAGGAATCTCAGTTAAACCAAGATGGCAGCAAGGTCAGAGGAAGTGCTGCTTATTGTGAACAATGTACGGAACAAGAAGACAGATGGGACATTATACATGATGGGGGAGAGAATGGGATGGATGCAGGGCAGCAAAAGCACCTTCTCAATCAGCTATATGTATGCTGATATTAAAGGTCAGTACAGTTTTTGTGTTACCTTTTGGTTGTCTAGTAAATCAATGAAAAGATAAAGAGGTTGCAAAATGTTAAATGCTCACCAAATAACAACAGTAGGTACATGTGATACATATATATCTGCTTTTATTTTGATGAAAATTCACAAGGTATATCAAAAGTAAAATGTTGACATTGTAAAATAAGACTGGGAGAAGGAACTGTTTAAAACTAAAACAAAAAATCTATGGTTTTCAATTATTTTATTGTGAAATTTTCATTTTAGCCCAAAAAATTTCTCCAGACTCTAAAGAGAAGGTACAGTTACAGTTGGTTTTACATGATGGAGGGGCCAACACGTTCCATTTCATCAACCCCAAGGGTCGGCCAGCAGCTATTGCTGATCGGGACAGCGTAAAGGACCTCCTACAACAGCTGATACCAAAATTCAGGCGGAAACTCAGCAGTGAATTGGAGGAGAAAAACAGGCCAGTACAAATACAGTTGTTCTCAAATAAACATTGGACTTCAATAATATTCTTATGTTTATGGAGTCCATACACCCTTTATTTATGGGAAATGAATTAAGGAAACTTCAGAGTATTTTTATTGCTAGCCAGTATTTTTATCACAGTATTAAGAGAGCAGATCGAGATTTAAAAAGTTGAACAGTTTTCAATTTTGCACAAATATCATGAATATAGCTGTTACAAATACAGTGACATCTAGATAATTTCTTTACTTAGATTCTACTGCATGCAGCATCTTATGATACATGCAGACTTTTTTTTATCTATAACAATTGCAAATTGACTGTTAATTCTATCCAGAAAAGATTAGCAAACAAAATGAATGAAATATAAGATCCTATTCAAGAATAAAGTTCTGTTTAAAAGAATTACAGAGAGTAACTCGTCTTGGATCATGTTTACACAGGATGCTGCAGGATAACCCTGAGTTATTCCAGTTGTACAAAGACCTGGTAGTCACTGGAGTCATCACAGCAGATGAATTTTGGGCCTCACGGGTAAATTATAATTTTTTTAAGAAATTGAGACCTTGTGGATTTAGACTCTAGAGTTTAACTCTACTAAATGAGTATTGTTTAAGCCTTGCAAGTTATATGTTTCTTCCATTATTTGTCTTCAGGGGTAATTAATTTAAAACTCTATTTCAAGAATCTTGGTTATCATGACATGATAGTTTAAGAGAAGAATTTTTTAAACATTTTAATCTGCTAGTAACTTACATGTAGGTCACTTGTACTTTTTTTCATGATAAAAATTTGATTTGTAATTGTAACTGACTTGAATGTAAATGATGTTGTCATGGATAGTCTTAATGAGAGAGTCCAAATGAAAGTCACAACATTTGACACAAACTAGAGTTACAGTTGTCAGGGTTTTTTTTTTTTTTTTTTTGACTCACTGCTATTAAATCAAGAAGACCACATTATTTTATTATTAGCCCAAGTTGTAGACTACATGGATGATATATCTAGGGATTCATACTTCCAGTCCTGCTTCTCATACTGCATTTGATTTTTATTTTCAAAATAATTAACTGTGTTTATGTTTTTGGAACATATGCTGCAACTAACCCAATATTTTTTTTTTTAATGAATAGCCATGTTAATTACTTTGGAGTAGATTCATAAGGGGTTACTTTTCTTATATGTTCAAAAATTATGCATCAAGGGGATGCATACTATCATAATTGTAAAACATGCTGCATGAAACATACCCAGTTTTCTCAGTGCATAACCAAGATAAATATTTAAGGGTGTTCTTTAGTGATTATAAGCCCTAATTGTAGATGATGTGTCTTAGGATGCATGGCAATAGGATAAGTCTATCATTATAGTGACCTCTAGATCTGTAGAGGAGTGACAAGGTTAAAATGTTAGGAGCAGGTTCATTCCCTAGTTCTTTGACCTTTCCTGAATTAAACTTATGAAATGAGCCATGCATCTTTTCAGACATTCTGTGGTAGGAAGCTTGCCTCACTTACAGATAACATTTGTCTATGTGACCTTTAAGTTCTTTAATCATGCATACCTCTATATAGTATCCGTACTCAGCTTTGGCATTGATCTAAAATTAATCTAGGTGCCAAAATCAGCATTACATGAATGCAGCTTGAGTAAGAATAGTTCCATTAGACAGTTCTATGCTATCCTGTATTAACTTGTATCAGCATTACATGAATCATTCAAGCTTGAGTAAGAATACTTATATACGGTACACAGTTCTATGTTATCCCGCAATAATTTAATTTTGTTTGTATTCTAGCCTCTGATTGGTTAATATCCAAAAAGGAACACAAATTATTTCTGTATAACCTGGTTTGGTATGGGGACACACCCCCTTGACAACCAGCTGAATCATCTGTATCCATACAATCCTCTCATTTCCAGTCCTCGGGATTCATGGAAAATTCCAGATTTAATAAATATACCTTTAATTTCAAACAATAGTTCGATCTTACCACATGTAACCAAACAACATGGCTGCTAGGCCTATGTATCAGTTTTTACCTCCCCTCGATTCCCATCACTTCTGTTACTTCCGTTACTATGGTTGTATTATTGAGCGGCAAATTTGAACTAATAAAAATTAACGAAATTTTACACCCATAGTTATTTATTGATTTTAAAATTAAATTATAAGAAATGACTCTAATTCTTGACCAAATTATTTGAGTATAACCTGGTTTGGGTCAGTTTACACTTTATAATCCGCGAAGCGGATTATAAAGCGTACACTGACCTAAACCAGGTTATACTCGAATAATTTGGCCAAGAATTAGAGTCATTCCTAAATTATTTTTGTTTCTTTGTAGAAGAATCAGAGCAGCACAAAGCCAGACAAGTCACAGAGTGTTGGAGTATCAGCTGCTTTCTTGGTATAAATTTACATCTAAGTCTCTGAAATATGCACATTGCCCTTGTTCTAAATTTTTTTAATGCATCCAAGAATGTAATAGAAACAACCATAAATAAACTTACATTTCTCACTTACACAGGACTTTTCATAATAGTGAGGTCATCCCACAAATAAAAATTCTTTGTTTTTATTAAGGTATAGTGAAACAATCTTATAACAAAGTACCAGGGATGGAAGATTTTGCTTCATTATAAATGTAATTCGTTATAATTGTTAAGTTCACAATTACATGTAAGATATTTTAAAGCCAGAGGAATGAAAATCACTTCACTGTAAGAGTCAATTCATTATAAGTGTGTTCACTATACATGTTTTTACTGTAGTAAGTAAATTGTACAGAATTAGATCATAAGAGTGAGAGAAAATGTTGTAAACACAAGTCTCAAAGATAGAAAAGATAACACTGATTTGTTCTTGGAACAACATCTTGGACACTTTGATTTAGGTCTAGGATGGGTGATTTATCTGGAACAAGCATCATTCTTATCTGATATGTTCACTGTATATTGCAAGTATTAGATGAATAGTTTAAATGTTAGCAAGATAATTTGAACTATTCATTTATATGTATAGGCTGACATTAAACCTCAGACAGATGGTTGCAATGGATTAAAATACAACCTCACTGCAGACATCATTGAGTCTATTTTCCGAACATATCCCATGGGTAAGATGCTCAGTAAACAAAGAAAAGTACCTTTGAGCTGAGAAAATCAGAATTTATATATTCTTTATGAATAAGTTAAAGGAAAGTGTGTTTATTTTGAAGATTAATTTGTGTTGACAGTGAAGAAGAAGCATGCGGAGCATGTTCCACATGACATGACAGAGAGTGAGTTCTGGACGAGATTTTTCCAGTCCCATTACTTCCACAGAGATCGGACTGTGATGGGAACAAAAGATGTATTCTCAGATTGTGCCAAAAGTGATGAAAAAGGTTGATTATAAACTTACTAAAAATGTACCAATTTTGGTGAGAGGAAGTCTTTTATATCAAAATACATGTAAAACCTCAATCCACTCTATTTATTAGATTTCTTAACTTTCTTTATATGCTACACAATTAAATAAGAATTTTTTTTTATATTTTTGGATGAATTGGAAAGCAAAATCAATTATTGATGGATGAATTCCATGTGTTAGTCAATAATTTTGTGTAGCTGTTGCATGTTGTTTGGTTGTAATCATAGCAAATGAAATAGAATTGGGTGTGGAATTTTTTGTTGTTGTAAATAATGAGCCAGTATAATTATCTCATCAACCTTAACACATAGGCTATAGAAATAATAGAGTACATATCTATATGTATCACCATTGGTAATTACCTTGACCATGACATTTGATCCCATTATTAGCTCACCTGAGCCGAAGGCTCAAGTGAGCTTTTCTGATCACTTTTTGTCCGTCGTCCGTCTGTCCGTCCGTCCGTCTGTCCGTCTGTCCGTCTGTAAACTTTTCACATTTTCGACTTCTTCTCAAGAACCACTGGGCCAAATTCAACCAAACTTGCCACAAAGTATCCTTGGGTGAAGGGGATTCAAGTTTGTTCAAATGAAGGGCCACGCCCCCTTTCAAGGGGAGATAATTAGGAATTAGTGAAAAAATAATGGCATCATTTAAAAATCTTCTTCTCAAGAACCACTGGGCCAGGAAAGATGAAACTTATGTGGAAACATCCTCAGGTAGTGTAGATTCAAGTTTGTTCAAATCATGACCCCTGGGGGTAGGGTGGGGCCACAATGGGGGATCAAAGTTTTATATAGAAATATATAGGAAAATATCTTTAAAAATCTTCTTCTTAAGAACAGCAAAGCCATGATTGGTCATATTTATATGGAAGCATCCTCAGGTAGTAAAGATTCAAGTTTGTTCAAATCATGACCCCCGGGGGTAGGGTGGGGCCACAATGGGGGATCAAAGTTTTACATAGAAATATATAGGAAAATATCTTTAAAAATCTTCTTCTTAAGAACAGCAAAGCCATGATTGGTCATATTTATATGGAAGCATCCTCAGGTAGTGCAGATTCAAGTTTGTTCAAATCATGACCCCTGGGGGTAGGGTGGGGCCACAATGGGGGATCAAAGTTTTACATAGAAATATTTAGGAAAATATCTTTAAAAATCTTCTTCTTAAGAACAGCAAAGCCATGATTGGTCATATTTATATGGAAGCATCCTCAGGTAGTGCAGATTCAAGTTTGTTCAAATCATGACCCCCGGGGGTAGGGTGGGGCCACAATGGGGGATCAAAGTTTTACATAGAAATATATAGGAAAATATCTTTAAAAATCTTCTTCTTTAGAACAGCAAAGCCATGATTGGTCATATTTATATGGAAGCATCCTCAGGTAGTGCAGATTCAAGTTTGTTCAAATCATGACCCCCGGGGGTAGGGTGGGGCCACAATGGGGGATCAAAGTTTTACATAGAAATATATAAGAAAATATTTTAAAAAATCTTCTTCTTAAGAACAGAAAAGCCATGATTGGTCATATTTATATGGAAGCATCCTCAGGTAGTGCAGATTCAAGTTTGTTCAAATCATGACCCCTGGGGGTAGGGTGGGGCCACAATGGAGGATCAAAGTTTTACATAGAAATATATAGGAAAATATCTTTAAAAATCTTCTTCTTAAGAACAGCAAAGCCATGATTGGTCATATTTATATGGAAGCATCCTCAGGTAGTGCAGATTCAAGTTTGTTTAAATCATGACCCCGGGGGGTACGGTGGGGCCACAATGGGGGATCAAAGTTTTACATAGAAATATATAGGAAAATATCTTTAAAAATCTTCTTCTTTAGAACAGCAAAGCCATGATTGGTCATATTTATATGGAAGCATCCTCAGGTAGTGCAGATTCAAGTTTGTTCAAATCATGACCCCTGGGGGTAGGGTGGGGCCACAATGGGGGATCAAATTTTTACATAGAAATATATAGGAAAATATTTAAAAAAATCTTCTTCTTAAGAACAGCAAAACCATGATTGGTCATATTTATATGGAAGCATCCTCAGGTAGTGCAGATTCAAGTTTGTTTAAATCATGACCCCTGGGGGTAGGGTGGGGCCACAATGGGGGATCAAAGTTTTACATAGAAATATACAGGAAAAAATCTTTCTCTCAAGAACAGAAAAGCCATGATTAGTAAAATTGATATGGAGGCATCCTTGGGTAGTGTAGAATGAAATTTGTTCAAATGAGAGACCCCGGGGGTAGGGTGGGGCCACAATGGGGGATCAAATTTTTACAAATGAATATATGGGAAAAAATCTTCTGCTCAGGAACAGCAATGCCATTTGTTATATTGATATGAAAGCATCATCAGGTAGTTTAAAATTCAAATCCCTCCCCCCCCCCCATTAACTTTTCAATTCTAAACTGATTTTTGTTTTTTTTTTCCCCTAGCCAATGTGCTCAGGTGAGCGATGTGGCCCATGGGCCTCTTGTTGGTAATTTTATTTTAGTGCTCAGCAACATAGCTGCATTGTAATGTGTTGATCTCATTTGATTTCCACATGTAAGAATTTATTCTTCTTCCAGACATGAAAGAAGAGATTTCTGTGAAAATGGTTGACCCATTTCTGGATCTCACTAAAATATCGGACTCTTCTGTTCATGAGGTACATAACGTGGCTTTGTCTCTCTGCACAGTGACTTTTATTTTTATTAGCTAGCTCACCTCAATGAAGTTGGGGGAGCTTTTGTAATACTCTTGGTGTCGGTGTCCTAGGTTAAAATTTTTGGAGCAGTTTTCTCTCCAAGTACTTCTATGCCCTCTATTAATCAGAGATGCATCTAGGATGCCTCTAGTGTGTTTCATTGTACCAGACAAGATGCTGCAAGTTCAGCATAAGAATGACCAAATTAATGTTTTTGGAGCAGGTTAAAGTTTTTGGAGCAGATCTCATTTCCAAGTAACTATAAGTCCTATATTGACCAAACTTGCATGGATGATGCATCAAGGGATGAACACTCTCAAACTTGCTTCAGATGCTGGATTTGACTTACATTTTTAGCTCACCTGAGCCGAAGGCTCAAGTGAGCTTTTCTGATCACTTTTTGTCCGGCGTCCGTCTGTCTGTCTGTCCGTCTGTCTGTCTGTCTGTAAACTTTTAACATTTTCGACTTCTTCTCAAGAACCACTGGGCCAATTTCAACCAAACTTGCCACAAAGTATCCTTGGGTGAAGGGGATTCAAATTTGTAAAAATGAAGGGCCACGCCCTTTTTCAAGGGGAGATAATAAAGAATTAGTGAAAAATTAATAGCATCTTTTAAAAATCTTCTTCTCAAGAACCACAGGGCCAGGAAAGATGAAACTCATGTGGAAGCATCCTCAGGTAGTGTAGATTCAAGTTTGTTCAAATCATGACCCCCGGGGGTAGGGCGGGGCCACAATGGAGGATCAAAGTTTTACATAGAAATATATAGGAAAAACCTTTAAAAATCTTCTTCTCAAGAACAGCAAAGCCATAATGAGTCATATTAATATAGAAGCATCCTCAGGTAGTGTAGATTCAAGTTTGTTCAAATCATGACCCCCGGGGGTAGGGCGGGGCCACAATGGAGGATCAAAGTTTTACATAGAAATATATAGGAAAAACCTTTAAAAATCTTCTTCTCAAGAACAGCAAAGACATGTTGAGTCATATTTATATGGAAGCATCCTCAGGTAGTGTAGATTCAAGTTTGTTCAAATCATGACCCCCGGGGGTAGGGCGGGGCCACAATGGAGGATCAAAGTTTTACATAGAAATATATAGGAAAAACCTTTAAAAATCTTCTTCTCAAGAACAGCAAAGCCATAATGAGTCATATTAATATAGAAGCATCCTCAGGTAGTGTAGATTCAAGTTTGTTCAAATCATGACCCCCGGGGGTAGGGCGGGGCCACAATGGAGGATCAAAGTTTTACATAGAAATATATAGGAAAAACCTTTAAAAATCTTCTTCTCAAGAACAGCAAAGCCATAATGAGTCATATTAATATAGAAGCATCCTCAGGTAGTGTAGATTCAAGTTTGTTCAAATCATGACCCCCGGGGTAATGGCGGGGCCACAATGGAGGATCAAAGTTTTACATAGAAATATATATGAAAAACCTTTAAAAATCTTCTTCTCAAGAACAGCAAAGACATGTTGAGTCATATTTATATGGAAGCATCCTCAGGTAGTGTAGATTCAAGTTTGTTCAAATCATGACCCCCGGGGGTAGGGCGGGGCCACAATGGAGGATCAAAGTCTTAAATAGAAATATATAGGATAATATCTTGGAAGCATCCTCAGGTAGTGTAGATTCAAATTTGTTCAAATGATGACCCCTGGGATAGGGAGGAGCCACAATGGGGGATCAAATTTTTAAAAAGGAATATATGGGAAATTTTTTTGAACATCTTCTCAAGTACAAGAAAGCCATTTCTTATATTGATATGGAAGCATCATCAGGTAGTTTAAAATTCAAGCCCCCCCCCCCCCCCCCCCCCCCCCCCCCCGGTGGTAATCTTTTCAATACTGAACTGATTTGTGCTTTTGCCTAGCCAATGTGCTCAGGTGAGCGATGTGGCCCATGGGCCTCTTGTCTGGATGAGTGACTAGTTTAAAGGTTTTAGATAAGTCCATTCCCAAGTAACTGCAAGTCCTATCAGACCAAAATTGCATAAATGTTTCATCTAGGGATGCACACTACTAGATTATTAGTTTATTGTGGGACTTTGCCTTACTTGAAGACAACATTCGTTGAGGTGAGCTCTGTAATCTCTGTATACCTATGTTTTGTTTACTGGGAGGATCTTTTAGTGAGGTTTATAATTTTATGTCCAGGACTATCGAGGACAGACAGAAGACACTAGGATAAGTAGTAATGTGACGAATGGAACAATGATTCGGAGGTTTAATCATCACTCAACAATGGTGCTAAAGGCTTGTGCAAAAGGATCACAAAGTGCTGAGAACTCAAGTCAGAAAGACAATGCTTCACAGCGGAGTAATACTCAAAATGGCAGTGATGCTCCAAAGGTGAATGGAGTGGCCAGAGAAGAATCTGGGCCAGGTACCAGTAAAGCCTACTGGGAACCAGCTGTGAAAAAACAAAGACTTCAGGAAAAAATTCATATGGATGATCTAAAGGACACAAGTAGTAAAAAGAATGTGAATCTTCAATTACATAAGATGGAGGGATATTTACATGGGCCAACACCAGTCACTGTGTCTCGATATACAACAAGTGAGGATCTCGTTCATGCATCAGAGTCAGTGATGCGTGACGTCCATCACTGGTCGTCTGATCTCTCAAATGTAGGTCAATTGTATTTTTCTCATATGTCAGTCTTTAAAAAAATAACTGACTGCATGTTTGATTATATATTTAAATATCAATTGCATTTAAAAATGAAACTGTTACAATGGTTTTAATCAGTGAGGTGACTATGGATGCTTATTTAGAGGGTGGTGTTTAATGGTCATTTTAGAACTGGGCATGTAGCATGTACCCAGTTTTTCTTTGCTGTGAAATAGTTCATATTGAGCCTTTACATTGTGACCATCTGTAGAGGTGTTTTTTATTATTTAGGTACTTCAGGGGTCCCGGGCCATTGTGATACTCAGTGAATTATCACCAGGAGGGGCATTAATGAAAGGAACAAGTCATCAACAGCTGAATCGTGAGTAAAGAAAACTTGATTATATAGTAGAATATTGAGGCATGATGGGTCTTAGATATTTTTCAGGACTTACATGTTTATTCAGCATTGAGATAGATTTTGTTTACTTCTTATTTGTGTTGCTGCTGATTCTGGCAGACACATAGGGATTACTTTGCAAGTGGTCAGTATGTACATATATTAACATAGGTGTCATTTTCACAGTTAAGGTTGCCGCCTTGTGATACGTTTAACCTGAATACTTTTATCATCTACATTACAAATTAATGATGATATTTGTTTTTATTTTTAAAATATTTTATCATAGATTATTATCATATCTCCTATTAGGCTCATAATTGTAATTAATTACACTTATTGAAATCTATACAGTATACGACTATCCTGCCTTTGGTAAGATGACTGGTTCCTCAATTGGAGCTACTATAAATTTATTAAATTATTAAATTTGTTAAAATCATACTTTTCTACATTTAAATCAATTACTTATTTCAAACATTGACAAATGTCAAATGGAATTCCTTATTGTACACCTACAAAAGCCTTCACACAATTTTACTTCCAATATAAGAATACCTATGCTAAACCTTTCATTAGAGTAGGATGATGCATATTTAAAATAAACCAGATTTTATTTATTTTATCGAATATTCGAATACTTTCATTGAATATTCGAATATGAATTATTGACAAAATTGACATCCCTAATAAATTGATTAACTAATGCTGTTGTATTGTGTGGAGAGCTTATTAAATGTTACATATTAAATGTATTCCTGAACTTGATGAAATAATCTTAAACTTTTTCCTTTCACACTGTGATAGTTTCTTAATTCAGAACAGAGATGCACAAATGATATAAAAACTTGTGAAAGGTGAAATATTTGCACTACATATCATTATACAACCCCAATATTATTATATATCACAATACACTTTAGCTGTATCATTACATTCCTATAGTAAGAATACAGGTGACTCTTGATGGCTCGAACTCTGATCTCTCGAAGTTCTCGATCTCTTGAACCTCCGGTCCCGTTTTTTTTTCCTCTATATAACTAAGCAAATTTACTTCCGATCTCTCGAAGTTCTCAATCTCTTGAACCAAGACCTGGGTCCCATTATATACATTTCATTGTATTTTACTCTCTATCTCTCGAAGTTTTGATTGCACGAGTGTACACGCCAATCAAGCATTAAATTAATGCATCTTGGACTTACCTGGATAACAGTGAGCGCCTGGGGCTGGCATGGAGGCATTAATTGGGTGTTTACATAGATGACACTATACCTGTGAGTATCCGAGTGTTGATATAATTAATTGGTTATAATTTGTAAATTATAAACGAATTGCTTCCCATCATATTTTGACATGACAACGAGACGATAATTTTTAGAAAACAATTTAAGAGACGTGTCAATAATTTTCCATAGATTATAATAAAAGTTTTATTAGAGTCTACATAATCCCAGTATGACAAACATTGCACAAGAATTGAATACCGATTTAATATGAGAAATCTGGTGACCCGATCAAGCCCCGGGGGTAGCAACACCGACGATTGCTATTCGGGATTCATGTAATCATGAAATGAGAACAAATAAATATTGAAACTTAAAGAGATCATTTTATTTATTCAAAATACGATCATTGTTGTTGAAATCTGTTGAAATCAAGTGAATTACCTATTAAATACGAATGAAAACGTGCAATGATATTATCATCATATACTTCTGGTATTTATAATAGTGGAACAATGATAATCGGAACTGAAAATTCCGGATTTTATTCACTTTCTATCTCTCGAACCCCTCGATCTCGAGAACTTTTCTTGCGGTCCCTTGAACTTCGAGAGATCAAGAGTCACCTGTAATTGAGCTTGACTACTGTATTGATGAATCACCAACTGAGCTGTCTGGCCACCAATGATCAAACTCATCTGACCACCACAATTGATTACTTTTGAAATTAATTGACCCCATCCCTGGATGTAAAATATTCATTGTATTACATGCACAAAATCAATATGAGCTATAATATTTCTGAAATGTAAATCCATGTACCTTGTGTGTCTCTTCTTTTTTTTTCATACAAATGACAGTATGAGTTTTCTTCTTTTGACTAAATTTGAGCCTGATTGTTGACAGAGATAGTCCCACAAGACGTACAGGAGGAGGTAAGGGCCAACTACAGTGCCCTGCTGGAGCTACTCCGACATTTCTGGACCTGTTTCCCTGTGTCATCCAAATCACTGGAGGAAAAGGTATGGGATACAAAGGCCATCTGTCCAAGCATCCTGATTGTAAATCCTTGTATTGTAAGGATATTGTTGACCTTAATCTAGGATGGCCAAAAGATTTTCGTTGCATCTTTCAGTAGAAGATTTATTTTAGCTGTACAAGAAGACATGTTTGAAGTAAAGTAATGCCATAGTAGATTAGTACATGTATCTGCCAGCATACTGAACTGTGCATTTCATTGGTAAAGATTTCCCATGTTGTTTTGTCCCACTTCAAAACTGCTGGATTATTAGTATTTCCCTTGGTAAAGGATGACACTCTAAAGGTTTTCCTATTCTGTATTTACTGATACATGTATCAGTCATCTATGAGGCATTAAGTTTAATCATTGCATGAAGATCTAGCTATCCATTACCATCAGAAATTAACATAAGTTCCTAATATTTTGATTTCATATACTTGTATATATTGAATTTTATACATGAATGAATATAAGTTGTATATAATTTTCTTATTTATTTTCATCCTCAGCTTTTAAGAGACTTTTACATTTTTTTTCTCTGGTTGTAAGGTTTATCTATTTTTATGGCGTCGAGTGAGCAGAGCTCGAATGTCATCTAGCTAGCGTCGTATCGAAATCGCCATCAGAAGTTTACGCAACCAAAACTGTAATTGTGACATTTTGTTTAAAGTTAAAATTTATATCAAATTCAGAAAGAACTTTTGCAATTGTTTTTCAAGTTCGACACCACTGAAGCCTTTCAGGCTTTTGATTTTTTCTTTGTGGATGATAAATCTTCATGTTATTTTGAACTACATTCAAATATATTTTTATTTTCTTTGTATTGAAGGTTATAAGAATGAAGTCAACGCTTGATAGGTTTCAAATGGCAAAGCTTATTCCACTGAAGGAAAAACTTCAGGAGTATCACTATACATTAAACGTGAGCCTGATTTCCTATTTATTTTTCCCATTCAGGAGTATCACTACACACTAAACTTAAGTCTGATTTCCTATTTATAATTCCCATTCAGGAGTATCACTACACAGTAAACATAAGTCTGATTTCCTATTTATAATTCCCGTTCAGGAGTATCACTGCACACTAAACATAAGTCTGATTTCCTATTTATAATTCCTTCAGGTGTATCACTACACACTAAACATAAGTCTGATTTCCTATTTATAATTCCCGTTCAGGAGTATCACTGCACACTAAACATAAGTCTACTTTCCTATTTATAATTCCCGTTCAGGAGTATCACTACACACTAAACATGTCTGATTTCCTATTTATAATTCCTTCAGGTGTATCACTACATACTTAACATAAGTCTGATTTCCTATTTATAATTCCCGTTCAGGAGTATCACTGCAGACTAAACATGAGTCTGATTTCCTATTTATAATTCCCGTTCAGGAGTATCACTACACACTAAACATAAGTCTGATTTCCTATTTATAATTCCCGTTCAGGAGTATCACTGCAGACTAAACATGAGTCTGATTTCCTATTTATAATTCCCGTTCAGGAGTATCACTACACACTAAACATAAGTCTGATTTCCTATTTATAATTCCTGTTCAGGAGTATCACTACACACTAAACATAAGTCTGATTTCCTATTTATAATTCCTTCAGGTGTATCACTACACACTAAACATAAGTCTGATTTCCTATTTATAATTCCCATTCAGGAGTATCACTACACGTTAAACATAAGTCTGATTTCCTATTTATAATTCCCGTTCAGGAGTATCACTACACACTAAACATAAGTCTGATTTCCTATTTATATTTCCTTCAGGTGTATCACTACACACTAAACATAAGCCTGATTTCCTATTTATAATTCCTTCAGGTGTATCACTACACACTAAACATAAGTCTGATTTCCTATTTATAATTCCCATTCAGGAGTATCACTACATGTTAAACATTAGTCTGATTTCCTATTTATAATTCCCGTTTAGGAGTATCACTGCACACTAAACATAAGTCTGATTTCCTATTTATAATTCCTTCAGGAGTATCACTGCACACTAAACATAAGTCTGATTTCCTATTTATAATTCGTTCAGGTGTATCACTACACACTAAACATAAGTCTGATTTCCTATTTATAATTCCCGTTCAGGAGTATCACTGCACACTAAACATAAGTCTGATTTCCTATTTATAATTCCTGTTCAGGAGTATCACTACACACTAAACATAAGTCTGATTTCCTATTTATAATTCCTGTTCAGGAGTATCACTGCACACTAAACATAAGTCTGATTTCCTATTTATAATTCCCGTTCAGGAGTATCACTGCACACTAAACATAAGTCTGATTTCCTATTTATAATTCCTGTTCAGGAGTATCACTACACACTAAACATAAGTCTGATTTCCTATTTATAATTCCTTCAGGTGTATCACTGCACACTAAACATAAGTCTGATTTCCTATTTATAATTCCCGTTCAGGAGTATCACTACACACTAAACATAAGTCTGATTTCCTATTTATAATTCCCGTTCAGGAGTATCACTGCACACTAAACATAAGTCTGATTTCCTATTTATAATTCCTGTTCAGGAGTATCACTGCACACTAAACATAAGTCTGATTTCCTATTTATAATTCCCGTTCAGGAGTATCACTGCACACTAAACATAAGTCTGATTTCCTATTTATAATTCCTGTTCAGGAGTATCACTACACACTAAACATAAGTCTGATTTCCTATTTATAATTCCTTCAGGTGTATCACTACACACTAAACATAAGTCTGATTTCCTATTTATAATTCCCATTCAGGAGTATCACTGCACACTAAACATAAGTCTGATTTCCTATTTATAATTCCTTCAGGTGTATCACTACACACTAAACATAAGTCTGATTTCCTATAATGGCTATTTATAATTCCCATTCAGGAGTATCACTACACGTTAAACATGAGTCTGATTTCCTATTTATAATTCCAGTTCAGGAGTATCACTACACACTAAACATAAGTCTGATTTCCTACTTATAATTCCTGTTCAGGAGTATCACTACACGTTAAACATAAGTCTGATTTCCTATTTATAATTCCTTCAGGAGTATCACTGCACACTAAACATAAGTCTGATTTCCTATTTATAATTCCCGTTCAGGAGTATCACTGCACACTAAACATAAGTCTGATTTCCTATTTATTATTCCTGTCCAGGAGTATCACTGCACACTAAACATAAGTCTGATTTCCTATTTATATTTCCCATTCAGGAGTATCACTACACACTAGAGGCAAGTCTGATAAGTGACAAGTATATATTCCCATTCCAATATAAATACATGTGTTTCCCATTCAGGAGTATCACTACACACTCAAAGGTCATGTTTCCTATCTGTAGACGTACTATCCTTTCTTTAGTATCATGAAACACCAAATTTATACATGCACTCCTGTGAAGAGATTTCCCATTCAGAGAGATTGCTAAAACACTAATTGTGATTATTATGTACTATGCACCATATTATGTCATTTTTCTGTAAAAAGATCTCCCATTTAGGGGTAACAGATTTTTATATGAAACACATACCAGAATACAGTGATAATTGTATTCCACAGCTGACTGGTCATATGGAGGAACTACTAGCTACAGCAAACAGGAAGTATGATATGTGGCAGACCAGGAAGTCCACTAGCAAGAGGTGAAAGGTCAGCAGACTGTGATGGTTTCTGGAAGCATAATCCCCCGTGAGGACAATCAAGGCTCTTGTCTGTGATTTCCCATTTCATGAAAGGAGATTCTTCATAAATCATATTTTCATCTGTCCCAGGTTTTTGTTATTTAAAATGTGCACATCTATCATGCAATAAATTGAAATTTACAGATGGGATAGTGTTACTTTGTTTTATAAATTTTTGAAGAAACTGGCAAATTAAGTGAAACTTCTAATTTTTTGCTAGGCACACTTTTAACTTAGTATTTTTGTTACGGATAGATTAGTAGGTATGGAAAATTAGCTAATTTTTCTTCCCTCATTAGAGAAGGTGCAAACGTTTGATCCAGATGCTAAATACCTTAACTTCTTATTAAAAACATATACTTCATTACTTATAAATCAAGTTTTAACATATTTTCATCAAATAATATACTGTCATGAATTAAGAAATAAAACGATGCAAAATATTGAAATGCTGTTGTAAAATGTAAAATTATGGGTTGAATTCCATTTTGGTCAATATCTGAATCTACCATAGAAAGAATCAATTCCTCTTGAATTTAGAACATTTATATTTTGTGTACATGTTCTGTGAATAAGCACATTCTACCCTTTACAGAATTTATATACAACAGTGTTAAGAAAGATGGTTATTGGCTCTATTCAGCTGCTATAAATACATGTATGTAAATCAGAAATAAAAGGGCACTTTGTAGCAATGATATAAATTGGCTCAGCACTTTAATTTAAGAGATGAATTTAATTTTTGAGAAGTCATGAGGACATGAACTACGACGCTTCATGAAAATATGCTAACGCGCTTCATGATGAATAAGCAGGCATGAAGCATTGTAGTTTATGTACTTCATGAATTCTCAAAAATTAAATTCATCTCTTATATTTACATTATTTTTCTGATGACTTGCCACATATCTTTGTTATTCAACGATCAATTTTGAAAAAAAAAGTTTGCACTATTTTTTTTTACTTCAATCACATTACAATAGAAAAATTCTTACTCATCCCACAGTAGTTCATGAGAACATAAACTTTTTTAGCTCACCTGAGCCGAAGGCTCAAGTGAGCTTTTCTGATCACATTTTGTCTGTAGTCCGTCTGTCCGTCCGTCCGTCTGTAAACTTTTCACATTTTCGACTTCTTCTCAAGAACCACTGGGCCAATTTCAACCAAACTTGCCACAAAGTATCCTTGGGTGAAGTTTTGTTCAAATGAAGGGCCACGCCCTCTTTCAAGGGGAGATAATAAAGAATTAGTGAAAAATTAATAGCATCTTTTAAAAATCTTCTTCTCAAGAACCACAAAGCCAGGGAAGATGAAACTCATGTGGAAGCATCCTCAGGTAGTGTAGATTCAAGTTTGTTCAAATCATGACCCCCGGGGGTAGGGCGGGGCCACAGTGGAGGATCAAAGTTTTACATAGAAATATATAGGAAAAACCTTTAAAAATCTTCTTCTCAAGAACAGCAAAGCCATGATGAGTCATATTTATATGAAAGCATCCTCAGGTAGTGTAGATTCAAGTTTGTTCAAATCATGACCCCCGGGGGTAGGGCGGGGCCACAGTGGAGGATCAAAATTTTACATAGAAATATATAGGAAAAATCTTTAAAAATCTTCTTCTCAATAACAGCAAAGCCATGATGAGTCATATTTATATGGAAGCATCCTCAGGTAGTGTAGATTCAAGTTTGTTCAAATCATGACCCCCCGGGGGTAGGGCAGGGCCACAATGGAGGATCAAAGTTTTACATAGAAATATATAGGAAAAATCTTTAAAAATCTTCTTCTCAATAACAGCAAAGCCCTAATTGGTCATATTTATATGAAAGCATCCTCAGGTAGTGTAGATTCAAGTTTGTTCAAATCCTGACCCCCCGGGGGTAGGGCGGGGCCACAATGGAGGATCAAAGTTTTACATAGAAATATATAGGAAAAATCTTTAAAAATCTTCATCTCAATAACAGCAAAGCCCTGATTGATCATATTTATGTGGAAGTATCCTCAGGTAGTGTAGATTCAAGTTTGTTCAAATCATAACCCCCTGGGTTAGGGTGGGGCCACAATGGAGGATAAAAGTCTGAAATAGAAATGTATAGGAAGATATCTTCTGATGAAGAACTGCAAAGCCATGATTAGTCATTTTGATATGGAAGCATCCTCAGGTAGTGTAGATTCAAGTTTGTTAAAATGATGACCCCAGGGAATAGGGATGGGCTATAATGGGGGATCGAAAATTTTGCATAGGAACATATAGGAAAATATCTTCTTCTCAAGAACTGAAAATCATGTTTAGTCATTTTGATATGGAAGCATCCTCAGGTAGTGTAAATTCAGTTTTGTTCAAATGATGACCCTCGAGGGTAGGGTGGGCCCAATAGGGGGATCGAAAGTTTTACATAAGAACATATAGAAAAAAATTTCTTCTCAAGAACAGAAAAGCTATGTTTAGTCATATTGATATGGAAGCATCCTCAGGTAGTGTAGATTCAAGTTTGTTCAAATGATGACCCCTGGGATAGGGAGGAGCCACAATGGGGGATCAAATTTTTACAAAGGAATATATGGGAAAATTTTTTTAAAAATCATCTCAAGTACAACAAAGCCATTTGTTATATTGACATGGAAGCATCATCAGGTAGTTTAAAATTCAAGCCCCCCCCCCTTCCCCCCGTAATCTTTTCAATACTGAACTGATTTGCGCTTCTGCCTTGCCAGTGTGCTCAGGTGAGCGATGTGGCCCATGGGCCTCTTGTCTAATTTGCAAAGAATCTTCAGGAAAAATACTTGGAAATGTAAATGTACTGTCTTAAGTACCATAATCCTCTTCAATCACAAGTATAAACAAATAAACATATTTAATGAATGTGCTTGCAAAATTTGTTGAACAATAAAACAATGTTTCAGAACTTTAAAAAATCCTAGAGTAACAATCACCAAGCGGATCTCTTGTCAAACTGACTCAAAATTGACCTTGATCAATTTTGAGGTATTTTATCTAGATATTAAAAAGTTACGCAAGGTCAAAGATTTTAACAAACATACAATACTAAGTACACTTTCTTGTCAGTCTTCGAATTTGGGAGGATAAGGATGCAGTGTTAACGGTTATGAGTAGTGTAAAGTGCTATCCTCGACCACGACTTTGAGACCTTGTTTCTAATAAAGCTGTGGTATATCGCTCTTCACAGGTTACAAGTGCTTTAAACAGAGTAATTAACTTGTTATTTCTCAGAGACCTCGCCATGAGTTTCCACAAGTCGTACATATCTCCTGAGAGACATGCCGTGTTTCGGGCAGCTGTTACTTGTTGCAGGCATCCATCTGTACATGTCGACATTGTTGAACATTTTGAAAGGTTATATAGAGGATTCGTATTTAAGGCTGTCATAAATCCATGGTATGTACACCCAAACACAGCTTCACCGACCTCCAAGGCACAAAGTGGGATATTTTTAAAGCTTTCACAGTGATGGTCATCCCAGTTTTCTTTTGGGTAAAAGATAAGGATGGTTTTACACAGCTCCTGATTTGGGCCCATTCCCCATATGATATCACTGCGCACACTCATGGTGTTATACTCACAAGTCAGCTTCAACATATCACCGGGAAGAACCGGCACAGGTGTTGTGTACCTGAGTGTGTATAAAAAATGATAAGATATTGGTTAAAGGGGGAAAAAATAAACCGCAGGTCTCTTCCTATATTTGAATAACAACCTACCAGAAAACAGTAGGGTCAAAAACGTCATAGCTGGTGTCGTTTGTGATAGAGTTGTAGATCTTGTCATTTCTTTCAACGTCCACTCGCTGTTTAACACCTACAAGGAATTCAACCTATCTTTAGGAACAATTTTTATCAGTTGTCTGGTGATTAATTTTACTGAATAATGTAGTATACTAGGAGATAATTGTCATAGTTACCATAATGCCTCATAACGTTAACTCCCGCCACAATAGTTACTGGTGATCTCATTTGGAGCTCGGTGCATGAACTGGGACAAGCAGACGACACTGAGTAGCTAGGGAGATTTCCCGGAATGCTAAAGTGTGTCTCCTCTAGGATCGCCACCCCGGCGTTGTATTTCTTCAAATTTGAGGTAATAAACAATGACATTCCGGCCTGTGTCACGGATTGTTCTTTCATTGGATTCACAAATGTCCACTGTAAAGGAAAATGGTTTAATCCACCAAAGATACAGACACAATCCAATCATCAATCAGTTGCAAAGCAAGTGCAACAAGCAAATTCAAATAATTTTCGTCCCCCGCTTTCGGTGTCTTAGTGGATGCAATTATTTATCGCAACTGTCTTGTTTGTGCGTCCCTCAAACTTCTAGAACAAGGTCATGAAGTCAAAAATGATATATTTTTCTGAAAGGTGTTATCAAAGATAATGCTCATGCAAAATATGAAAGCCCTATCTTCTCTCATTCAAAAGATCTTACCAATGTAAAAAAAAAATGAAAAAGACTGTCGGTTAAACTTATATTAGAGGTCGAGATCATGAGGTCAAAAACCAGAGTACATTCAGAAAGGTCTTGAAACAGATAATGCACATGTCAAATATAAATGTCCTATCTTCTGCCATTCAAAAGTTATCAGCAATGTTAAAATTGTTGAAAATTAGGTCAATCTTCAAAGTCAAGGTCATGAAGTTAAAAATCAGTGCATTTGGAAAGGTTTTCTCACTGGTACATGTAATGCACAAGTCAAATATGAATGCCCTACCTTCCCTCCTTCAAAAGTTAGCAGCAATGATAAAATTTTTGAAAATTATGTCAAACTTGAAGGTCAAAGGTCACAGGGTCAAATATCAAAGCTCATTCGGAAACTTCTTGTCACAGGTGGTGCACTTGTCAAATAAGAACATCCTTTCTTCTGTCATTCAAAAGTTATCACCATGTTAAAATTTTAGAAAAGTACGCCAAACTTCAAGGTATAGGTCATGTGGTCAAAAATCATGGTACATTTGTAAAGGTCTTGTCACATGTAATGCACAGTCATGTAAAATATGAAAGCCCTATCTTTTCTCAATCAAAAGTTATGACCAAGGTAAAAGTAATATTAAAATTTTTGAAAAGTAGGTCATTTAGGTTAGATAACAGGGTCAAAAATTTTAGTATATATTTGGAAAGGTCTTGTCACAGGTAATACACATGTGAAATATGAAAGCCCTATCTTTTCTCATTCAAAAGTTAATGAATGACCAAGGTTAAAGTTTTTGTGACATACAGACTGACAGACAAATGAGATTTAATGTCCCTTCGCTTTCGCCAAAGCGAGGGACAACAAATATAAGTAACTTCAGATATTTAGACGAAAACACTGGCGAATTTTGACCCCCCCCCCCCCTTTTGTGACAAAAATATACGTAAGGTTAATGATTAAAAATTAGTGGTTGTTGGATATTGCATTAGTTTTACATAAAGTATAGCTAAAATAGGTTGGAAAACTTCATTAAAACTCTTAAAACCCAACAGCTTCTAGCGGCTTCGCCCCCTAGGCCCCCACCCCTGACCCCGAACTGGTTGGGTCCCCCTTTTCAAGAATCCTGGATCAGCCACTTGAAAAGTTCAGCAACATTAACAAACGAGCTATACCTTCATAAGAATTTGCTTATATCCTGTTTTGCCAATCTGGAGCCCTACGTCCCGTGGAAAACAGTTGCCCTGGTCCATTTGATCAGTGGTCATTATTGCAATAAGATCTTGACAAGGCTTGGCAATTATTGAGGAGCATTCGAAGACCCCCTGTCGTGTTATCCGTACCATGTTTGGATCTACAGTCATGATAAAGGCGTTTAATCTTAAGGCCAATAAGTAAAATGAAATAGCTAAGTAAAATACAATCTAGAGTACATTGACACTAACTGCATCCATAGACTGCCACTTTCTTCAAAAGATTATGCTGGTGGTTGATTGGTTTAGATGCTATCACGTGATAGTCTTTGTGCGTTGGCAAATCAAATATTCGACAAACAAAGCTCCACTCTTTTAACGGAATGGAATAGTTGTTCAGGAACATGTCGTATTTCTTAACACCTACCATGAAACGGGGATATAAAAAGTAAGATTGCATTTATGATATCGAAATAAGTAAAACAATATCAGGATTGTAATTTAAAGTTCAAAATCACCAAATAACCTGGTTCATCAATTTGTTCACATTTTGTTGAAACTTTATCAGCATCACAGTCCAAAGAGCCATTCATAGCAAGACATTTGGGGCTGTCCCACGGTTCACAGATACCTATCCAGATGTAAAAATAGCAAAATTAGTGGTAAAGAGATTACGAGTACATTTTTATAGAAGTCGTACTGATGTTATAACAGACAAACAGGTATATGCTAAAATAATTACAGAGACTGATCGACTACAATCATTACACCAAATACTAAGTAAATAGAAATCAGGACGGTTTGATAAAGGCATAATCCTCCAAAGTGTTCATGTTCTTCATCCTACAAATAGAGTCCTTCTGGACACGTCATTACTGGTGACGTAAATATAGTTCATAATGAGGACCTGAAATCACATATTTTAAAAGGGCCAAAATTTAGGGAACCCCGATCTTTCAAGAGGCGTCATAATTTCATAAATATTCTGAATTTTGTGGAAGAATACAAGCGATGGACCAAACATGAAAAAGAAGATCTTGACACTTTGTCAGAATGGATTAAAAGTATCAGAAGGATATTGAAATCTCGAATTTAGACAATTGAGGGGCAATATGAAAATCATCTATCAATCTGTCTTCAATAATTCAGAGGTGAAAAACGAATTTGAAAGATTACACGATCAGTATTTACTGGTCTCAGCTGACAAAGCAGGTAACAACATTGTGAGGCTCATATTATTTTAATTGTATTTTAGATGAATTGGGATTTAGTTCTGCGAGTAGTAATCCAACTTATACCTATAGCTCCCTTTCTAAGGAGGAAATTCTTCAAAATCATAATTATGTTAGTTTTAATATTTTTAATATTCTCAACAATCAAAATGAATTTGAATTACCGGTACCATACCTATACTGGATCCCTAAACTTCATAAAAATTCTTACAAAGATACATAGGGGTTCCAGTAAATGTTCTACCAAGCCTCTTTCTTAACTCCTCACTAAAATATTAACAGCAGTGAAGGAGAAACTTCAGGAGTACTGTACAACAATATATTCGAGATGAGGTGTAAATCAGATGTGGATACTTAAAAACTTCAAGGAACTTTTAGAAAGGAAATGGCGCACAAGGCGCACAGAATGCCTATAGCCTTAGATATATAAAAATCATAATCAAAAAATCAAATTGTGAATTTAGTATTTAGAGTAAAGTTCTCATTATTGAAATTATGATGAACAAAACTTTTCTGAGGAAAATTTTCTTTGCAAAAATTATTCTGTAATTAAAAAAATTTTGTGGTATTCGTGGGGTTTGAACCCTAGCAATTAAAATCCTAAGTATCATTTTCCTCTAACACGCTAACCACTACGCTACACAGCTCATGATGAACAATGACATTTAAATCATGTTTGTGATTTGACCCTTGACTAAATCGACTTCAAGTATTTTCTCGAAAAGATGTGAATGTTGTGTCATAAAAGTGTATTTTTAAGGTATAGTGGGTCTTTGCTCCATGTTTTTGTTGACCAAAAATGTAGATTTTTTCGCAAACTTTGAGGATAAACTTTGAAAAATATGGAGCGAAGACCCACTCATATCGAAAAATTGTGTTATGAGAAAATGATCCTTTTTGCTCTCTCTCGTATGTGTATCTATTTCATAAGCAAATAATTTCAATCTTAATGAGATTTTTGCAAATTATGGAGATTTTACATAAAGTATACTTTAATTTTAGATGAAATATCAAAGAAAATTTTGTTTTAATTTCTCACCTTCATGTTTGTTGCACTATGGGCATTGCACTCGCCTTGTTCGCACATCTTCTTTGAAATTACAAAATTTTATCGAAATCAATAACACCAAAAGGTACTAGCACTTTATACAACCATTCCCCACGAAAAATTTAAGTCCAGGCTTTTTGACATCCGGCATAGCTGTTTTTTCAATAAAACTGGAACTCGTAAATTTACTTACATTGTCATTGGTCATTTGCAAAATTATTTTGTTAAAAACATTCTGATTGTACACACAGGTACTCTGAAGTAGATATTAAAAACATGCATGCTTGAGTTTCTGATTGACAATATTTAAGTAGTTGTTTGAAGATCAGGTCTACCAACAATATGTCGGAATTCCCATGGGTATCAAGTGTGCCCCGTTATTAGCAGACCTTTATTTGTATTCATAGGAAGCAGAATTAATCAAAAATTTATACATGAGAAGAAGGCACTTGCTGTGACCTTTTACTCGACATTTATAAATATTTCGACGACGTAAGTTACTTCCATTGTATGTCAACTCGATACTTGATCCCAGTGAACCTTAAATGAAAGATACCACAGAGTCTGACACACCTGTTTCGTATTTGGGTATTTTACTAGAAAAAGACGTTAATGGTAATCTAACAACAAACTTTATGATAAATGTGATGACTTCAAATTTTCTATCGTCAACTTCCCATACTTATGTAGCAATATGCCCTTATCACCTGCATATGGGGTTTATATCTCCCAGTTGATTCGATACGCAAGAGCATGCTCAACGTACGAATAATTTCTAAAACGAGGCAAGCTATTGACAAACAAGTTGATAAAACAAGGATATCACCAGTGTCGTTTCAATTCATCATTTTGCAAGTTCTATGGTCGATACAATGACCTTGTCAGCAAATACAATTTATCATTAAGTCGAATGCCGACTGACGTTTTCCATACTAATTGTTAGGCAATTATTTAAACACTGAATTATCTATGGAATTTTTTTTAGTTAGCCCGATCTTGACAATGAGCACACGGCGGTGTGACCGGTCGACAGGGGATGCTTAATCCTCCATGGCACCTGATCTCACTTCTGATGTTCAATTTTTTAGAGGTCCGTGTTTGCTCTGCTCCCGATTTGTATTGTTTCAATGGACCTTTGAGTTGATTACTGTTCGTTATCTCCATCTCTCATCAAAGGATCGCAAAATTATGGCAAGATTGAAAAGCACCTTCCAAGATGTGTTTATTGATGAATGAATATCAAATAAGATATAGAAAAGTGAGCACAAGGTCAAAGGATAACTGGACTTCACAAATTGTTCATGTACTAGTAGTTGTCTTAAATTGTTAAATGTTAGGGGGGGGGGTATCGTGAGGGGGAAAAGTATCACGATGCATCACGATATTTCCGGAAAAGAAAAAAAATATCGCAATATTTCATGATACATCAAGTTTTTAAATGTACAGGTTCCTCCATAATTGTTTTTAAGAAAGGAAAATGTTGATTTCAGCGTTCCTTTTTCAAAAAATCTTATTTTAATTTAAGTCTTTAGTATTTAGTATTTTCCGAAACCAAGATTAAAGCATTCTAATTTTAGCGTTTTTCTTTTTGATTTCTAAAATAGAAGAATTTTGACATTTCTATTTTTAATAATTTCTACAACTGTCGTATACACAGACATCATAATTTTAAAACCAAAAAAAAGCGGAGTGCATACATCCTGAAAATATCGAGAAAAAGATTTTGCATTTAATGTATCGATATATGGATGTATTGTTACACCTATATTTAATGTATCTTTGTATATGGATGTATTGTTACACCTATATTAAATGTATCTTTGAGATGAAATATATTAAACAGGTTTCTTAATTGTAAATGAGCTAAACACAAAAATGGAGAGTTCGGAAGGATGTAGGAACGGAGGACAGAAATGTTCATGGGGGGGGGGGGAGTCTTATTACATTGGACCTACAAAGTTGTATCAGTGAACAGTTTGAACTAATTGGAATAGTTGTAACTGTTTGAAATAAATTTTTCTGGGCTTTCTGTACGTACACAAAAACGGTTTCCTTGTTGTAATGTTATTCCCCGATTCAGAAATATACTTTTTTTCAAACTGTCGAGGCTGTTTGTTAGTTTTATGAATCATGGTCATTTTCTTCTAAAGCAAAAATTAAACCATTGAACTCCTTGATCAAGTTTGACTATATTTTTAACAAAATTTTGATTCTAAATGTTTTTTAAAAGAGGAAAAAATGAAATCTAAGAAATGAAGCGAGGAAGAGACATACCAAAGGCAAATACTCCCACTCGACTTTTACGTTGGTTAAATGTATGTAATGCTGCAGATTCCAAGAATACGTTTAGCTGATAAAAGCTAGATGCTTGATTTATCATAGTACAAGTTTTTCTATAATTAATTCACCAATCTTCTCTCTTATTTTTAGTACAACAAACATTTTACTCCCAAGATATGCCCATGTCTTACCTGGATGTGAGAAAGCCGGGAGGGTCAGATTTCTGTTGGTGGTGGACCACTCACAATCTGGATCTCCCAACTCTAGTCCATTGTACTGACCGTCCCCATCCGAATCCATACGACATATGTCTCCCCATTTCTGGAGGAAAACCAAAGAGCGAAAAAAAATCTCTAAAAATTTACATAATTAACAAATTGGATTTGAACTTAATTACGGCTTACGATTGTGGGTATACGGTAACTTGTAAAGCGTTTGCTCTACAAAAGCAAGGGTGGATCCAGGGTGTTTAAAAACGAGAGACGATGGTATTCGTAAACACTGTGTACAATGTACGTGGTTCTGAATATGCTGGAGTAATACTATAACTAGGCTAATATTATCATTATTTTTTTTTTGGGGGGGGGGGGGGGGTTACCTTGTTTGGTTTTGATCAGAAAAATCCATATATAAAAAGATGCGAATTAGCTTATTGATTGTAGATTTTAATCTTTTCGGTGAAAGACATGATAATAAATTATCAGAGAAATATGTTAATAGTCGAAAACACAACTCTATACATATACGCCTTTATTTTGGAAACAACGTATAAACTTCTTATACGTCATGGAATGGTCAGATTTAGTCAGCTGTGTAAGAGTCATCTAAATGGTGTATTGTAGTGGGACACAAGCGTAAATAAACATTTGACATATAGGTAAATGACCTCTCCAGAATGACCACAATGTCATAATACTTTCTAGGACTTGTAACATTATAGCGGTCAGATCAAAACAAAGTACCCGCTTTTGCCTATTAATATTATGTCATCTTGAAAAAAAGTACATGTATAATTTTCGTAAAATCAACTTACCTTATTTGCTTTTATAAAATCGTGCCCAAATTGATTTCTAGGTCCCGAGCCATGGGCACCAAGGTGCCCCACTCCGTACCATATAAGGGAGGGATTGCATGGATTGGGGACCTTGTCACCATTTGGGATGTAGTCGTTAAACGAGGGCCATCCCCAAGTGACTGTTAGCAGGTGTAAACTTATCAAAACCAGTACGCGCATCATCAGGTCTTGAATCGAAAATTGTCCTGACTCTCGGTTTAGTGAACCATGGTTTCCAGAGAAGACTTAATCACTCAAAGTAATTAATTGGATTGCACATGATGAATGTAAAGAAAAATACGTGAAGCCAAAATATATTCTTTATGTCTGACGTGCGCATTTAGAATTACATTATATCCAGTAAACACACATTCAACGTCAAAATTTAAGTCTTACCTGTTGAAAATTCACACTGTCTATATTTATATTGAGAGAAGTATTGTAGGAATAATTACTTTTTTGGTTGAGAAAGTTGTTAATATTTATGTTGTGGTTGTATTTAATCACATGGGGTCACGTTAAGTAATGGCAGTAATATAGCATACTGTATATATACTAAAACATTGTCATTATTTAATATCCAAAATACATGTCATAAATTCTTAACTGGAACGAGCCAGCTAACACTTCAAACTTTGACTGTGTTACAAAACATACAAATGTTGCAAAAAAGAAAAAGAAAATATACATATTTAAATGTAAAATTTTTCGCATCATCTTTTTTTCCCCAAATTCAATTTTTTAAAAATAATTTTTAACATTATCCACGTTTATGAATTGCAAAATATGATAATTAATTTTTCTTTAACAGAGCTTAAGTCTAACTATATGATCATGCATATACACCGAACTTAAAGAATAAAGACAGAATACTATGCATTCTATAGTGGTTGCATTTCGCAATTAAAAGAAAACTAATAGCTGTATAAATCTAACCTTTGTTCTAAAATTCTTCTTTAAATGTAATAAATGACTAATGTTTCTGTAAAACAGACTTTTTACATGACATGTAAATAAGACTGATAAGGATTTCAGCCAAAATTCAAGCCATTAGTACAAAACTGCACATCGATCAAAGTAAAGTTACCTGTTCGGAAGTTTAGTCGTCGTTATGCAATGTTCACGACAATAACAGTTTAGCACAAAAAATTACATTGTACATGTATAATGTATGAACTTTTTTGGATAGTGATTCATGATTGCTTTATAAAAAAAAAATAAAGACTAAAGCTGCATCTACTAGTTGTTATAAATTGCAAAAACAACTATTTCCATCAGCATGTTTTTTTTTAATGGCAAATAAAATGTCATTTCCCGAGTATTTTTTCCATTATTTTGACCCAAAATGGAACATTTTTCTCCTTCTTCTTTGCTCTCTGACGAACTTTGTCAAGTGATCCCTTAAAAATGGGACTGCGAACACAAATTCCAGTCATCTCGTGTTGAAAGTATCCCCTCCTGCAGCTACAATCATATGAACCAATTGTATTTCTGCAGATTTTATCGTCAGGACATTGTGCCACTTGGTCAAAGCATTCGTCCTGGTCAAAGCAAAACATGTACCTAGGACTCCATATGTATCCCTGTTTATCACAGACACAGGAATAATTAAATCTGTTTCTAGTGAGATCTTCGAAGTCAATGTTTTTCCCAGTGATCCATGTGCAGGTTTTGTCATTTAGATTTTTACAAGGGTTAAGTGGGTCAGTTTTGGCGGACATTTCGTCTTTCACATTTCCATTTGAACTTCTTCCGTAACATGGGTCTGGACAAAACCATAAATAAGCACAGGTCCACAATGAAACAGGGTCCGACTGATTTCCGCCATAATTGGATCTAAAATCTACAACTTTTTTACCACCTGATTCAACAGTTTTTGACAAAGAATCCAGGCACCCTTTTTCATGGTTTTCAACGTACGCTAACAATGCACTTTTCAGTTCTGTAAACCAACACATATAGTAAACTGCTGTGGCTCGATAACGAAACATCTCCAATTCGGTTTTGAATGGCGAGAAAACAGAATGTTTAGAGTATTTGTCGGTGTCGTGAAGCTTCCATACGGAATTTGCTATGCTGGCTTTCCTGTAGATTTCGTTTATGCAAGATACTTCACCGTCCTCGCAAGCCTTCGTTATACTAGGATCCCACTGTACTATTCTTGGATTGGGAAAACTTCTATGTAAGCCCCCTTTTCTTTCGACACGTCCATTTATGGATCGTGGATCTACTGCGAAGTACTTGTGAGCGGCTAAGAACGGTCCTACAAGTCTAAGTTTCTCCCTCATTGGATTCATGATTACCTCTTGAACTCGAGGGTCATCTCGTGGAATTGAATGCAGCCAGCTAAATGTCCCCTGATTTTTACTGTCCCTAAAATCAGCTAACGTGATTAAAGCCGAATAAACCATACATAGCATAAAAATGTGCCTTTTCATTTTTTTTCCGAGAACGAATCCTTTATGACGTCATATACTTATAATGATGTAATTTTTTACGTAAGTTATACTTCAAAGATAAATGTCAGGTAAGTCAAGTTACGTACATGTACTGTAGAAGCACAGGGTGACTCATCCATTTGTTCTGAGACGGTACAGCATACGGTAATACAAGTTGTAAACAACCTTGTGTACAGCAAAATGTTACCGTGTGAAATACGTTATTACTTGTATCATACGACGTTTTGAAGTAGAGCATGTTCCTATTCTGTTTGTTGCATACGACTTTCTCGGTCCTGCCCATGGACAGGCCTGTGTTTTTAATTTATTCAGAACTGACTGATCAGATCAGCGATAAAGATACCTAAGATAAAAGGTACCAGCGATAAAGATATACATAGTGCCTGTATGGAACGCCGGGACTGTCTTATATGAAGATTAAACATTATATGCAGTGTTCTCTTCATTATATGTGGTACTATTTTAATTATATGAAGTAGTTTTTACAGTATATCGTGTGCAACTTCCATTATATACAGTACTTCTTTCATTATATGATGTAGATATGTCATTATATTATGTACATCTATCATTATATGAAGTGGTTTTATCATTATATGAAGTGCTTTTAACATTAAATGCGGTAGATCTAACTTTATATGCAGTAAACACAACAATATATTATGTACTTCTCACATTATATACAGTATATTCATCATTATATGTTGTATTTCTGTTATTATGATGATGCTGATCGTTAAAAATTATGTCCGGTCCTGTTAGCATTCCGTGCGGTAGATTTTGCATTTCGTTATGATGTAGACACAGATGCGGTGCTTTCTTCTTTATGTGTATGATCTTTCGGAAGCTACCTTTCGGAACCCCCCTTGTTAGATTTAGAAAGTTCTACCTTTTTTCGTTCTTAGATATGAAAATTCTTAATGATTTTGGGTTATCTTTGATAATTGGTAATCAACCACGCGTCAGCCAAAGCATCGCGGAATAATCACATACCACTGACATAATATTTATCCCTATATTAAAGGAATTTCGAAGTCATATCAATAATTATACTTACTTCAGTAGTTTACAACGAGAGAGAGAGAGAGAGAGATGCACTTATTACTGTAATAATTTTATTGTTCCATTAATTGTTAAACTATGACGTATAAAAAAATGCTGAAATTGTCTTTAGTTATACTATGTGAATGTTATGTAATGTATCAGGAGAAGATAAACGATTTTCAGAACATAAAATGTATTGAGTCCTGGGTTGTACTTCAAGATTTTAATTCTAAAAAGGTATGTGGTAAAATTACTCAGTAATACAACGTATATATATATATATATATATATATATATATATATATATATATATATATATATATATATATATATATATATATATATACAGGTCCGTAGGAAGCAATTTCAGTTGGGGGGGGGGGGGCACAGCTATACATTTTCAGTTGAGGGGGCACTATCAACTACCAAAAATTCCTTGACAAGCAAAAAAAAAAAAAAAAAAAAAAAGGTCATCAAACATTTTAATTGAGAGGGCACATAGTAGCTATGTTTTCTATAGTAAACTGTATATCGGCAAAATAAAATGAGAGATAAAAGGGTAATTTACATTGTGAAAAATTAGCACATCCCACCCCTAAAAAAGCAAATAAATAAATAAATAAATAGATAAAATAATACTTGTAGTGTTTTCTATAAGTCGTTGTTAAAGCCCTGCCTACTCGAAGGCATAGGAATGCAGTTAGTTTTTAAATATCTTTTTTGACATTGATTGTCCTATATATGAAATAATCTTTTTGAATGTCATATTGTTCACAAAAAAGATAGAAATGCCTCAATTTTTTTTCCACTCCCAAAATATTTCTATCATACCCAACAACCCCTCCCCTCGTTACTTCATACTATGAAATATAGAATGGATTCTATTTTACTCTATTGCCCTACTTCATATCTTTAAAAAAACATTCTAACCTGTTTATTTATACGTAGCATTAATTATTAACTGCTTTAATGTATATACGCATGCTTTTATTGTACTGAATTCAACAGGAAATGTCGGAGTTCTCAAGGTCGATAAAAAGAAGAACCAATTTTTAACAGAGAGTTCCGAAAGGTAGCTTCCGAAAGATGATACACATAAAGAAGAAAGCATCGCATATAATACTGTGTCTACATCATAACGAAATGCAAAATCTACCGCACGGAATGCTAACAGGACCGGACATAATTTTTAACGATCAGCATCATCATAATAACAGAAATACAACGTATAATGATGAATATACTGTATATAATGTGAGAAGTACATAATATATTGTTGTGTTTACTGCATATAAAGTTAGATCTACCGCATTTAATGTTAAAAGCACTTCATATAATGATAAAACCACTTCATATAATGATAGATGTACATAATATAATGACATATCTACATCATATAATGAAAGAAGTACTGTATATAATGGAAGTTGCACACGATATACTGTAAAAACTACTTCATATAATTAAAATAGTACCACATATAATGAAGAGAACACTGCATATAATGTTTTATCCTCAGATAAGACAGTCCCGGCGTTCCATATGCCTGCAACAAATATAAATTTGTTTGAACAATGATACTTTGCGCTTTTTATTCATTTATAAATAAGAATAAAATTTGGTCATAATTGTTATTAGATCTTGTGTTTTGCATAATCAACATCTTAATTTCGTGATAAAAAAGAACATTTTATGGATATTACTATAGTAATTTTAATGTTCTTATTAAATAAATACACCTAAAACAATTTTAAACTTGTGAATAGCTATGCTGTGAAGAAAGTAAAACTGTTTAACATTTTAAAAACAAGTCTTGTTGGGGGCCCAAGGTACAAAAGCTGCAGAAACTCCTGGATTCTAGAGATTTAAAAAGAGTAATTTCAATGAGGTCTTTTAGACATTTTTACAAATTCAATTGTCATAATTAAAATCTTTTAAATTCAAGAAGTTCCTTGAGAAGCCGTGAAGTTAAGTGAGTTTTCAGAAAATTCCTGCATGAAAAGACTACGCATCTTCGGAAGTCATTTCTGTAATAAATGCATGATGTGCACCTCCGAGCTACTGCCCATAGCCCTCATCTTTTATCGGTGAATATCGCACAAATGAAAATGACAACAGGCCCGTAGAACGTGGGGATGGGGTGGTTGGAGGGGGCAGGGGCACCCCCTTTTTTTCTGAGTGTAGTACTAGTATTTTGCTATAGTAATTTGTCATTTAGATGCAGGTTGTCCCTCTCCACTTTTTGTTGCTTTGGAAGCCCCCCCCCCCCCCCCAATTCATTAAGTTTCACATGCCAAATATTACAAAAATTGGTAACTAAAGATAATAAAGAAGATGGGTGAACATGAAGAGCAAAAAGCCTATAGTAGGACAAACATGGAGGTTAAAAATTAAATCTCAATCATATCAAATTTTTCCTTGATATTTCATCTAACATTAAAACTTATATGTAAAATCTCTACAGTTTGCAAAAATCCCTCAAAATATTGAAATTATTTGCCTGTGAAACACTATTTTTTGAGATGAGTGGCTCTTCGCTCCATTTTTTTAAAAGTTAATCCTCAAAGTTTGCATAAAAATATACATTTTTTTGGTTACCAAAAATATAGAGCAAAGACCCACTATACCTTCAAAATATACATTTATGACATAACATCTGCATCTTTTCGAGAAATACTTAAAGTCCATTAATTCAAGGGTCATATTACAAACATGATTTAAATGCCACTATTCATTATGACTTGTGTAGTTTAAGTGGTTAGCGTGCTAGTCTCGAAAGAAAATTATACTCAAGAATTTTATTGCTAGGGTTCGAACCCCAAGAATGCCACATTATTTTTCAAAAGAAAGAATAAATTTTGCCGAGAAAATTTTCCTCAGGAGAGTTTTGTTTATCATAATTTAATAAATTGCAATAATGAAAACTGTATTCTAAATACTAAATTCACAAATTGGACATGATTTTTATATATCTGAAGCTAAAGGCTTTCTGCACGCTATGTTCGCCCATCTCCTTTATTTGATAAATTTTAATTGGGAAATCGAACCCTCGCGTAGTATTTTCACGTCAACGATATACAGAAAAGTAAACAAATATATATAAACATTACTTCTACAAACTGTAACCAAACTAATGTCGCAGTTGCCAAGTACAGTACGTAACTGCCTGCACGAAAACAGTAAATTACATGTAACAATTTGTAGTGAGAGATAAACACTTGTAAACCCTGTCATGTGACTGTATGTAATAGCTTCTCTCCCTATCATTATAACAAACCCAACAGCTGATACATCCACTTCGATCTTTTTGTCAACAGATGTTTTAGTTCGTGTCGTGAGGTAGTAAAATAATTTTTCATTATCTCCGAGGTTTGTTTTAACTCATGTGAAAAAAGTTGTCATCAGATTCGTTGTCGGTTGAACTATTGGCGTTTCTGCAGCGTCGGGAATGGCGCCTATATTTTATATCTGTTGTTATCGATTTTAAAGTGTTTGCCCATTTTTTTTTAAACTTTAGTCACAAATAACATTTTTGTTGGGCGGATGTTGAACCGTTGTTTGCAATCACGAAGGATTCGCTTGGAAATTTAACAAGCTTACAACAGCAAAGGATTTATTTTAGAACGAGGTTGGTTTTAGAAATAGTGATATTATTAATAATGTCTTTTACAAATTTCTGTCAAAATTTAATTTTAGAAAGTTTAATTATGAAATAAACCAATCATGATTTTGTAGTCTGTATGTTATGTTCTGGTGAGTCTCCGTCTTTAAAGTCACTGCCTAAGCTTGTCGTAGGTAAGATCTACTTCTCTTTCGCCATCAGCACATTTAAGAACAACACCTCCTCGTCGAGTGGTTAGAACATATTTAAAATTAAACTATTTTTTTTTCAGACAGTTTGATATTTGGATAAATTATGTTAGAACATCCAGATTTTCTGAAAGACAGATCAAGTTAACATTTTGAATATTTCATTCAAGCATTCAAATAAAAAAAGAACAAATTTCCTCAAAGGTATCTAAAATTATCTTCTTTCAAGAAAAAAAAAATAAATGAAAAAAAAAGATTCTTATTTCAGTTGTACTATACACTTTAATTAAATTTCCGGGATTGTACTGTCACTTTGTATATCGATTTTCAATTATTAAACAGAAATTTGTCATACATAGATTGAAAATTTTACATAGCGTTTAATGAATTCAGAATAGATTACAAAATAAGTATAATTAAGAAGATTTATTCCAATGTTCGAAAAATTTAAAATCTTGCTTGTTTCTCTCTTTGATATACGTATGTGTTTTTTCGGTATTTTTAGCGCGGCCATTTCGTACACGTGGGTCTCGGGTGATCACATTTAGCAAAAAGACGGAAAAGGTTATGATATTGAGAGACAGTCGTATACAAGCTTATCAGAAGCGCTGTGCAGTGCTTGGGCCTTCTTAATTATAGGTTGTTTTTTTCAATGTGTGCAGATGTATAGTTAATTTAACTCACTTTAAAAAGTCCAGAATATAACAGAATATAACATAGTGTCTTTTAACATGTCTGTTTAACGTTTGTTTACGGTGAATAGTCTTTGTTAGTTTCATTGTCGTTCATTTGCTTCTGTGTGACGTCTCATTTTAACAGAATATCTTGTGTCATAATAGTTTTAGTCTGCTAGAGGACTACAATATGATGAAATTCTATTTTAAGTAACATTTACACAAATGCATTCTGTTCATGAGCTTTGACCTCATTTTTAAAAGATAGCAAATATATTATCAGGCCCGTAGGAAGCAATTTCAGTTTGGGGGGGCACAGCCAAACATTTTTCAGTTGACAGTTGAGGGGGCACTACCAAAAATTTCCTGAAAAGCAAAAAAAAAAAAAAAAAAAAAAGGCCGTCAACTACCAAAAATTCTTTGACAAGCAAAAAAGAAAAAAAAAAAAAGAAGAAAAAAAAGGAAAAAAAAGGCATCAGACGCTTTTATTGAGGGGGCACAAGCATGTAGTATCTATTTTTACTATAGCCAGGCCCGTAGGAATCAATTTCAGTTTGGGGGGGGGGGGGGGCACAGGCATACATTTTTCAGTTGACGTTGAGGGGCACTACCAAAAATTTCCTGACAAGCAAAAAAAAAAAAAAACATCAACTACCAAAATTCCTTAACAAGTAAAAAAAAAAAAGAAAAAAAAAGTCATCAGACGTTTTTATTGAGGGGGCACAAGCACACATTATCTATGTTTACTTAGTAATCTATATATCGGCAAAATTATTGGGGAGGCACGCCCCCCCCCTCCCCGGAAGCGGTCATTTACACTTTTAGAGAAAATGCACTCGGAAAAACTGCTCATTATCATTCTGTTCTATGATGATTTATCTACAAAATCATATATGGCATGCTTAATTGTCTTTATTTTCTTTTATCTACGTAAACAGCGTCAAAACTCTGCTCGCAGACTGAAAAATTCATAGAAGAGAATGGTAATAAATAGGTTAACGCTAGATGGTACAATGTACAGGTAGGCGATAAATAGCTTGCAGGTGAATTTTCTCTGAAAGTGTAAATGACTGCAATCCTGGGGAAGAGGGTACTGTACCGGTAATTCGGAGTTAGATACCTTGTGTTTTTATTATACTATTGGTTAAAAATTTATTACAGAAACAAGTGCCTGTAATATGCAACTTTTAAACATTGAAAAGGGGGGGGGGGAGGGGTTCCCTCGTTCTTTTCAAAGATCATCCAAGTACGACATCCAGATTGATTTCGATTGTGTGCTACGTCATAATTGTCACTGACGGCACGCAACGGAAAATCACAATTAATGATGGATCTTTTTAAAGAATGTGTTTGAATTAATTACATTGCAAAAGTTAGAGACGATTGCGGATTGCACCGGGGGATAGATTATAACAACATGTATTTTTAGGCCTTCTTTACATTTTCTTTCGTTTTTTCCTCTCTTATTTATTTATTTACATTGTATCCATTTATTAATTTTAGGTTAAGTTTTCATGATTCATCCATATGGAGAAATTAAGAAAACGTTTTATACAGCAAAACAAATAAAATCTTTGAATGTGAAGAAAGTAACATACCACGCTGACTTTCTCTCTTAGGTTTATGGTGTTTGCCTGCAAGCAGTTAGCTGGACATCAGATTTGACTTGATGATGCCTTTTTAAGCTAGACAATGTCGTTAGAAACTTCAGATAAAGCGGATCTTGACAAGCGTAATCAAAAAATGGAGAGTGATGTTGAACTCACAGAGAAGAGTGAATCACAGAGCCAAAACGTTAGTGACAGCCCTGCACCTTCTGTTTGTTGTTTCTCGGATCTGTACTTCCCCAGGAGGTACATTGTGACAATCTTGGCAACTCTCGGAATGGTTGTTGTGTATTGCATGAGAACAAATGTTGGTATAACCATGATAACTATTTTGGATGAGGAAGCTCATATGAAAGTCGGAACACAACAAGCTAAATGGAATGTAAGTAAAAATTATGAAAATTGGGTAGAAATTACGATTCTTTAGATTAAGATCAGGTGACTACAGTTTTTTCCTCACACTGAATACATTGTGTTGTTCACAAGAGGTTTGATTAGAGATTTCCCCTTGACATTGTCGTTAAAGCTTTATTTAGTGTAAGATATATACTTTATTTATAAAATGCAATGACAAATAGAAGTTGATGAAACAAGAATATCAACAGTCTTGTTTAAAATCAACATTTCGCAAATTCTATAGTCGATACAATGACCTTGACAGCAAATACAATCTATCATTAAGTCGAATGTTGACTGACGTTTTTCATACAAAATGTTAGGCCATTATTTTCACACTCACACTGAATTGTGTGCGGCTTTTTCCGTTTGCCCGATCATGGCAATTATGACCGGTCGACAGGGGGTGCTTACTCCTGCATGGCACCTGATCCTACCTCTGATGTTTTTAGGTGTTTGCTCTTTTTCAAAATTTATCTTGTTTCTATGGACTTTAGAGCTGGATTACTGCTCGTTGTCTTCACATTTCATTCAAAACTCAAATGTTATTCACTCAATGTATCTTGATCTTTGGATTATAGACTTTACAAGGGCCGGGGAAGGGCTGCGCCATATGCCAAATGCGCATACTGCTGAAAAATGGCGCAATGCAATAAAGGTGTGCTGCCAGGCGCCCCGCCCCGCAAAATGCAAGCACGCATTATTTTCTACTTTGTAAGTCCATCGCAGTCGGCGCTATCGGTATTCTTCATGGAGAATCTAGCCGCATGTGATGAATCATATGAAAAATTCGGAACCAACATTCAAGATATTAACCATATCCTCTAGCAAAGAAGCAAACTTTTCGTAAGTGTCAAGTCGTTTTGGACGGCTACCACAGCTTTACCAAAGTCATGGAAAATATTTACCTTACAATGAAATACATGTATCTTATCAATGAGGTCTACTTATCTTGGCCTGTCCCTTGAACTGTATTTAATCGGCACTTTTTTGAAGAAAAAAAATGGTGCTTTTGGTTTAGATATTATTTCTTTTTCTAAATACTTGCTGTGTTAGATGACAAGTGCTTTATAAAGTTCTTAGAAACAAAAAAAAATATCATTTCCACTAGTCAATGTCATATGATTTATCAATTCCTATCGCATTTTTTTTTCTTTAATTTTTCTAAATTTTGTTGTCTGCGATATTTGCATTATCACAGCATAATACTATGAAATATTGTAGAATAGTCCCAATGCATTTCCTCTCTGTCCCTTAAATTTCAAAATGACCCCATCACTTTATGAATAGTGGAGCCATTGTCCCCTCCTGTTGTTTGACCTTCCCGGGCACTGGCCGCGTTCTTCCTGCTGTTCGATATTATTCATGCAATAAATAAAATATTTTTAAAACAAATGTTAAATGTTTGTGCGCGCTCTTATAATACTAGTTAATCGACCAAGCCCTTTCAAATCCACAGAAGCCAAATACGATATGTTTGATATTAATTGGCACTTATGGACCTGTTTTATAACTTTTCGGAATTTTAGGAGAAGTGATTGACAAAACCGTAGTTGAAATTATCTCCCACTCCAGAAACCAACTTGTCAAGCAGACAAGAGCCTTCAAATTGGCTTTAATGTAGCCGTCAAACACGCAATAAGGACTAGACTGCTAATCATTTCAGTTCGTGGGGAAAGAAATGAAACTTTATTATCTGCAATCTATAATGCATATAGCGCAAAAATCCAAATTGCTTAAAGAATCACAGTGACGCAGAAACGAGACGCAGAAAGGAGGAAATTGAGAGAAAAAAAGTTTTGCATGGTGGAGGCATATTTTGTTCGATTCTTGAAAGTATTAGGTCTAATAATATTGCAGGTTTCAGAACTAAAATATGTATATCAATGGCTATAAATAAATAATAATAATTGTCTGGTTCAGCATGAAAATATTGCTATGACCTTTCAAGCTGCATCTGGTCACTAATTTGATAAATTACTTACATGTATTTGCGATTTGTGATAATATTTTAATCTCTGGCTTTTGAAACAATATATCTTTTTTCTGTTGGATTTTATAGTTATTTACAAAATTATGTCGTTATCATACCACAGCTCTACTGATCTGAATCTTGAAGCCTCTTGTTTTAGCTACCTACTGTAGAATGGAACACAAGAATGGCTGAACTTCTCCACAGCTTGTTTTATATCGGGTTCTTCCTGTCTCAGTTACCCTCGGGATACCTCACCACAAAGTGGCCTTGTAACAAGTATCAACACTGTTTTAATTGTCTTTTAATATGATACACATGTATATATATGAACAAAACGCCAAGCACTTTCGATATCTGTTAAAAAAAACTATATATCCCCGAATCTTCGACACGGGGGCATAAAAACTATCTAGTATATGTATATTGAAACTGAACCCCATGACCCCACAGGGTCATATGACTTCAGCATGCCAATATGAGCGCATTGGTGCTTCTTTTAGAATTCAAATGGTATATATTTCTTAATTTTTTGTAGAACATATGGTGCCTGTATTTTATTTTCTGCCTGTCTTAATGTTCTACTTCCGGTCAGTATTGAACATTTGGGGTACACAATTAGCTGTGTCATCAGATTCCTCCAGGGAGTCGGGGAGGTAACGAAAAGTTTTATCGCTTTAACAGCAGTTACAGTTTATTATATTTACGGTATCTCGCTTCAGATTGGATTTTTTTACGTTTACTTTTAAATACAAATGATTCATATTGATCGTAATTCGGCCATCTGCTACATCTACTATATTAACAAGTCTCTTTTAAAGAATAAAACAAACTTTATCATTGATCAATATTTTTACTGATTTAATCAAAGCACACAACACAACTTGTCACGAAGTCGTCCGACGGATCACATTTAACTAATCTATGTCTATAATGATGATCTACAGTGTATATTATGTATAGATTAAAAAAAAAATAATATGATATACTTGACTTTTGATAAATTACACTACATCATCCATTTTCTGATCACGATTTTGTGACAAGAGTTTAATTTTTGTTTTCTCTCGTTTGATGTTTATTAGGGCTTTCTTTATCCGGCAGTCTATGGCGTACTACGTCACTGGACGACAACCAATGATAGGGGGCGTCTTGTGGCAGCTGTTCTGACAGGTACTTGGGGCAACAGAATGTATTTACTATGAAAAAAAATTGATAGATCTACAAAAAATTATGAAGCATGCACGGAAACTGGATTCGGAAGATTTTTTTTGTCGTCTGCAAGTGAATGATTTAGCACCGTCAACTACAATATCACGTGTCGACAATAATTACTACATATATCCATGCAAATCCGTTTTAAAGTACATTGATGCATGGTTTGTTTAATATATAAATATAATTTTATGCATGTGTACATAAACTGATTAGAATTCAGTAGAATTAACAAAAACTGGTGTTTTTTGGTTAAGAAATAAAAATGAACATTCATAATTTCCTATAAACTATCACCACCAAAACATTATGTATACGCATAAATTTATTGAGTTCAAGGACAATACGCGTTTTGTCGGACCCAAGATCCAAAATGTTTATCCAAGACTGTTGGGCCGAGAGCAGAAGTTTGGTTCGAAGAGTCTTCGAAACGCATTTGCCCGACAATATACAGTCAGTAAAAGTTTTGGTAGGCCTATACCTTTTACTTTTTATTTTGACATATCTTGACTGGCTTCTATGTATGCAATAATTATTTAAATTTCGTTTACCGCACTGCGTATTTAACTTGGTTAACTCAGTAACTACTGATCACCAAGAAAAGCAAGTAATATATAGCTGATTCGTGTACAGTGTGACGTAAAAAACATCATAGCGGTCCAATATCTCATCCACAGGTTCAATCTCTCGCTCAGCTATCCAAGTTTTTTTTTAACCTTCAGTAAAACATTGGAAATGTTAAACTTTTTAAAAGTATGATTATTATATAGAAAACATAAAAAAAGACTCATATATAGCAAAACATGTATCGTATAATCAGGTATTAATTTCCTTTGTTTAAATGTTTCAGGAACATATACCGGTGCCATCGTAGGATTCCCCATAAGTGGAATAATAACTCACTACATTTCATGGGAATACGTCTACTATGTGTCGAGTTAGTAAAAGTCGTATTCTGAGAGGCCTTAATTATACTAGTAGATTCATACTAGATTGTCGGTTTGTCTGTATAACTCATGGTTTGTTCTATAACAGGCGGTATGTGTATTCTTTGGTATTTTGCTTGGCTATGTTTTGTCTTTGAGAAACCATCACATGACACGTCAATAAGCCAGTCGGAATTCGAATATATAATTAAAAACCAAGGGAAATATAATATAGAATACGAGGTTAGTATTAATTAGCTTTCACAAATTTATATATTCTTCAATGATACACATTTCTTTAAAATAACTGACTGATATTTAAATGTTATATTTTGACTACATTTACATTATCTTTTTTGCAGAATTTAAAAGTACCATACCGACAGATTTTGACGTCATTACCCGTAGTGTCTTTAAGTTTGTGCCACTTTGCCAGAAATTGGGTCATTATTTTACTTCTGACCAATGAACCATATTATCTCAGTATGTTTGGTTTCAGCGTTGCCGAGGTAAGTGTAATTCATTGATTAATGTTTTAGGTAAAAAGTAAAAACAGTTTTCAATGTAATGTGGATTTGTCATGATTGTATTGTTTAGATATCAAAATCAGTTAAAATTAAAAATAATATTACTATGCTGGTCATACATGTATAAAATATAGAATGTTATACCCTGCAGAGAAATATAAATAAAGGATATTGATGTATCTAGAATGAGGTAAACAAATTAGAAAGTTTGGGAATGCCTTACTTTCTTGAAAAAGATGAAATTGATGAAAATTATTGGTAAAATAAATTATCTATATATTTTACTACCAGAATGGTGTATATTCCTCAATCCCGCACGTGCTTTTGGTTTTATGCACGTTTACCAGCGGTTACATTGCGGACTTTCTACAGCTGAATCCGAAGTATTCCACCACCTTTATTCGGAAACTGCTTACAGGGATAGGTATGTCAAAAAAACTGGAACCAAGTGTCGCGTTAATAGGAGTTGTCAACAGAGTTTAAAATATCTTTTCCCCATTTTCTAGGCTTTATAGCACAAGCCGGCTGCTTTTTCGTGTTGACCTTCCTACAAACAGGGGCACCTGTTCTTGTTGTTCTATCCTTAGCCATGGGCTTCTTTGGTCTTTCCGTCTCAGGTATACTATATTGTTAAGACTGAATCAGCACTAAGTAATCATCATGGGATTTTAAAAAAAGTATAATCATATGCATATAACGATAATTGGTTGGGTTTTTTTCTCAAACCTTGGAATGGGCATGTTTCCACTTCTAAGGTATTTCGACCTTTCCTGTCTCTATGCCAACATCAAAATTTATTATACAATAAAACCTTACAAATAACACTCGGATTAATTAAAAACATTTAATTTGGGATACGAGTTGTTATTACAATAAATGAATATGTTTCTACTTTCTGTCAAGGGTGGCAGGTAAACTATTACGACCTTTCCAGTCGCTATGCCAACATTATAGTGAGTGTGTCATCATCTTTCGCTGCATTGGCGGGAGTTATCACTCCGCTTGTTGCCGGAGAATTTTTATCTTCAAACGTGAGTACAATTTTCAAAGGTAAAACCCAAATTGAAAAACAAAACAAATTGTTTTATTTGAATTTCATAATACCACTTTAAAATACCGTATTGATTTCTAGAAAAACAGCTATATATTTTTGTAGAGTTTGAGGGGATGGAACTTGACTTTTTATGTAACAGGAGCAATAGTACTATTTGCTGCCTTGGTATTCTTAGTTTTCGGTTCAGGTATAGTACTGGAATCTATTTCGTGCTAAATTACTTCGGCATGGCAATTGACTTACTTTCTTAAAGTTTTTTTTTTAATTCTGTGACGTAAAGTTCCATGTATATTGACAGGTGAGGAGCAGCCTTGGGCAAATCCGCCAGATGGTATTGTGCTAATACAGAAAGTTGATCCGCTTGCTCGAAAGCCATATACAATAGAAAGTAATCATAAAGTGCCAAGTAAAGAAGAGCCTTCACATAAAGAAAATGTATTTTTGGACCCCACACCAGAGCAAATTAACAAGGTCGTCAACAGGATGTCAACAGCGGCCAAAAAAGATTGATAAACTATTTCTTCTTTCATTCAAAATGGTATGAGATAATGATTTGATGTCCTTCATTATTTGCCTTCCGTTGATCTCATAAAGAGTGTATTATGACGTTACCATTATGACGTAACTTACCCTTTCATTGACTTTGTCTATGACGTCATCTATATCATTAGCAACATAGAGTCTGTCATGGGATAGATTCAGTAATGTCTCTGTCCAATCTCCCGAGAGAAAAGAAAATAGATGATGAAAGTAATTACCCTTGTCAAGGATGTGAGCCTCCCACAAATACACCAAGGTCGGAAGCAACCATGAAGCCAAAGAACTCGAGAAAACGAAAGGAGATAAATACAGACTTGGAAGATGAAACTGATTCAAATGATGAAATTGATGAACAAAGAAATACTGCTATAAAATCTTGCTCTTTGGAGAAAAATTGTTCAGCGCCAAAAAATTCTTTGCAGTCCTTGGAAAATGTGGAACTTCATATTAAGGAATTCGATGGTCTGGAGGGGGATTACAACGACTATAGGCCTACGAATGCGTTAGAAGAAACTTCAGAAAATCAAATTAAATGTACAAAACAGTACAAACAAAATCGAGAAGAAATAAAACACAAACAAGGCCATACTAAAATCGCTACTGCTCCCAATGTATGTGTTCTACAGAAAATCGCTTCATTCAAAGATGAAGAAAATGTTGTACCAAAAGTATCGAAACAGAGAATGAAGAAAAAGGGAAAAGATTCACTTCACCCACTAAACATGAAGATAAAAATGAAAAAGTTACCCATCAAAGAATTAGGAATCCTTAAACAAGATGAGGAAGCAATTTTTGGTGGAATATTTCGATTGCATGTATGTAATAAACAAGAGGGAAAACGGCTTGAAAAAATAAAGAAGAAAAAGAAATGTAAAGTACATAAAAATCCGCTCAACAACGCCACGGATGACGATGTGCCAGAGGAGTGGTTTGGTAAAAAAGTGTGGAACACACTTTGTCATTATCCCCAGCTTGGCTCACACGCCAGGGAGGAGTATTATCGCCGAATAATCAGGTGGAGGAAAGGCTTTGCATCAGATGGTAACAATGATGAATGTATTCTGTGTGACATTCAACAAGTCACACCTAAACCTTTATTCAAGGATATTGATACGTTGAATTACAGCCATGATTTCTATGATAGATTTTCTCGGCAATCTCGGTATAAGACTTCGTCCTCTACGCCACTCCCGGAGGAAGAATTGGGCCTTAAATACAGGTCTCCTTCCCCCGTTCCGCCAACCTCTTCTTTAGGATCCACCCCTACTTCTCCACTCCCTAGATTGTATTCTAATATTGTGTCACCTTGTAAAATAACAAACTCGTCTCCACAGGAAATGTTAAAGACGAAATCATTGATAAATTATGTGTCCCCAAAACACACTCCTGACAGTGAGTATACGGAGAGTAGAGCCACCAATCTCCAGACGTTCTATGTTCCAAGGTCAAAGTTTATTCACCAAAAATGTACCCCGAATATTCCACCTGTTCGATGGGCCCCGGAGAGAGATCCAAGTAGAATTGACTTTCTCTATCGGCGAAACGCCTTCAAAGCTTGCTTAGCAAAGAAGGAGACGGCTTTTTCGAATAGAGTTAAGATTCCCCCAATTCAGAAATTTGCGGTTAAAGACCTTGGTGTGACGTATTTCCTGCCAGACTGCAATCAGAATCTTGCTGAACGTCACGTGAGCATACCGAAGTGTTACACGTACAGTCCCAGGTTTCCTTGGAAACCAAAGAAGACAGTTTCCGTCCCCGGCTGGATTCCACCCATTCATAGAGGGCAAACTCAGCAGATATCTCTCAGCTAATGTCACTTATTTGGGGCAGTATTATCATGGTTTAAAATCATTTACTTCATATGAATTTAAAATAACCAAAAAGAAAATGCACATTAAAAAACAAAAACAAAATACAAAACAAGTTTAAGACTTTCAGCATTATTATCACATGTCCGACCAAGCACCACCCTGTCCATGATTATTTTATAATGATTGGAAGCATTCTTCAAATTGTTTTAGCGCATCCAAATCTAACTGTATTACATGCTGAATATTCAATGATTTATAAACTGTATGCTTCATGAAAATATTTTATTTGACATAAAAATGAATTGTGTATTGCATTCGTTTTTGACTCATTGAAAAAAGTCTCATGGCATCTGTGTTTAAGTGCAGTAGTAAATATTGCGCATTTAGTGGACCACAGATAATGCTCCTTTGAACCCATCTTCATTTATTCATTTTAAATACCATATACATTTAAGTCTTCGTGGTCTCAAATATGAATGAAAAAAAAATTATTCCCTCAGTCTTTCACTTAAAGTTCAATATACACAAGACAGTATGTTTTAATTTTCAAACATTTATTTATAGAATGCAGCAAACAAACAAAATTCTACTGTCTAAAAGTTGTAACAAGCTATAGTACATAAGTGTCTATATAGTAACCCTATATCATTAAAATTAAGGATACATAATACAAATAAAGAATAAAAAGAATATATATATATATATATATATATATATATATATATATATATATATATATATATATATATATATATATATATATATATATATATATATAAGCACTAAAAACCAACAACACCGTTATCCTAAGTGTCGGATCTACTAAGTAGATACAAGATCACGGATGGAAATTTATATAAAGCACTAAAAATGACCAACGACACGAACAATAATAATTGTCAAATTTTCGGGACGACCTGTCCCTTCCCCAGGACAAAGAAAAGAGTTAAGAAGTCATAAAAACAAAGGAAATAGAGAAACAAAAACAACTAGCACTACTACTAAACTACCAAACACTAAATATTTACAGTGTTACATGTTTAATTTGAAGTTTATAAACAGTTGTGAACAAAGAAATCCGGAGCGCTGTTCATAAATAAGGTTATATGTAAATTCTTTCTTTTATATTCGTGAGTGGATGATTTACAAGTACCTAGAGAGCGAACACTCCCTGTTCATTTCCTTCTTTTAATTTTCAACTCGAACAAAAGTACTTACCCGAGAAAATAATGTATTTTTTAGAATATGGATAAACTTTATTTTTAAAAATTATGCAAATTAAATCAATGTAATGCATCACGCAGAATTTGATAGAATGTGCAATGAAGTCCGGAAAAGTTTGACAATTTTTCAAAAATATTTAAACAACTTTTTGAATGTGGAGTTATTTTAAAATATTAATCACATACACACTTAAATCTTATTATTTATTGAAACATTATATCTAATACAGTTGGTACAATTTCAGTAGAGTAACTAGTATCTTTATACTATTGATACCGTTTCACTGGGATCAAGAAGTTGTACGCCTTTTATAGTAATCTTTGTTTATTATAATACCTATAACAAGTCGTGAGTGTTTTTTTAGTAGAATCATAACTCTTCAAAAGTATTCGCTCTGCTATAGGACAGGGTAAACAATTTGACTTTTGCATGTGCTTTAAAACATAATTGGGGTGGGGTGGGGTAATGCACCCCTCTTAATTTGCCAATGCACACAGAATAATATTTAATAAATATATAATTAATATTCAACAATGCAGAATTAAAAAAAAACAATGTCAACGAGGGCTTTGATATAACAGACCATAAAACATTATATAAATTCTGCATGTACTTGAGGGTAATTTTCACCCCAAGAAAACCATTGTCAACCGAGACACAGCCGAGGATGACAATGGCTTTAGTGGGGTGAAAATTTTCAGTATTAATTATATGATACTGAATGTTTTACACATGATTAATTTTCTTTTATGTGCTAAAAACCAGAGTCTCCCGAATTATTTATATATTCCAGATTGTCTGTCACTTATATGTAACTATTCAGACTTGAGGTTCACATGGCTCAATGTTGAATCACATACATCTGCATTTTTAAATGTGTTCAATAATTCTCATTATTATATTTTAGTATTGGGTTTTTTACTCATAATGGGTAATTTAGAAACAAACCCTGGACCAATACCAAATAATTTTGGAACTCGAAATTTAAGCATAGTCCATAATAATGTATGTAGTTTACTTAACAAAGTTGATGTGGTTTATAATGAGTTGTCTGAATATGATATTGGTATTACTGAAACTCACCTTGATAATAATATATCCAATGATGAAATCATGTTTCATGGTTTTCATCCTCCGATTAGAAAGGATCGTAATAGGTTTGGGGGTGGAATACTGTTTTATATTTCCCTAGACTTGCATTTTATCATAAGAGATGATCTCAATATTACTGACATTGAGCTTCTGTGGTGTGAAATACATATGCAAGATAAGAAGAAAATTTTACTTGGTTTAATATATCGACCACCTAATTCCACTGCCTCCTACTCTGAGCGTCTTTCTGATTCACTAGATATAGTATCAAATGAGTCCATGCCAGTATTTCTTATGGGTGATTTTAACATTGATATGTTGAGCAGTGGAAACAATATTTTTAAACAATGTATGATACAAAAAAATTTAAACCTGATTAATGAACCAACAAATTTTACAACTACTCCTGGTACTTGTATAGATTTAGTTTTCACCAATAATCTAAGTATTGTAGATAATGTGTATGTAGCACCTCCATTCTGTAGTACACATTCACCTGTTAGTTTTGATATAAAATACAAAACTTTCAAACAATATGCTTATAAACGCACCATAAGAAACTATGAGGATGTTAATTTTAAAGATATTGAAAATGATCTTAACAAAGTCAATTGGGACTCCACAGTCTTTAATTCCTCAAACATAAATGAAATATATGATAATTTCTTACACACGTATGATGCTATCTTGGATAAACATATACCTAAAAAGGTAGTCACAATTAGGCCACGAGATAAACCATTCATGAATAATAATATACGTCTAAGAATAAGGCAACGAAATCGTATACACAAAAAAGCAAAATGTAAAGATTGCCCAAACCTATGGTGTCATTTCAGAGAATTGCGAAATGAGGTAATTTCTATGGTTAGAAATGCCAAAGAAAAGTATAAGAAAAAACTTACATCTCAAATACTTAATAAAGATATTCCACCAGGAAAATGGTGGCGAATTACAAAATCAATTGCAAAACTTTCAAATAAACATAAACGTATGCCTCCCTTAAAATCAAATGGTCAAATTTTACTTCATCCATTAGAAAAGGCAGAAGCATTAAATAATTTTTACTCAAATGTTTCTAGTGTTGATGAAAGTAAAACCTTGCCTGAGCATGGTCCTGGTCCTCCCTTAGTAACCATAGAAAACATATTTGTCACTGAACAAGTTGTAGCTGATCAATTGAATAATTTAAATGTAAGCAAACCCCCTGGTCCAGATGGTATAATACCAAAGATTCTTAAACAATTATCCTCCTCCATCTGTAAACCACTAGTAAAACTTTTTAATAAGTCGTTTGAATTAAGACGTTTACCAAATGTATGGAAGCAAGCTAATATTACCCCAGTTTTTAAGGGTAAAGGTAGTCCTGACTTAGTTAATAACTATAGACCAATATCACTAACTAGTAGTCTTTGCAAGATTATGGAAAAAATTATATTTAAATATTTGTACAATTTTATATTAGAAAACAATATCTTAACAAAATACCAGTCAGGTTTCCAACCAAATGACTCAACTATCAACCAATTAGTGGAAATTTATAATACGATTATATCAAACCTAGATAAAGGTAAAGATGTTAGATTTATCTTCTGTGATATTTCAAAAGCTTTTGATAAAGTTTGGCATAAGGGTCTACTTTTTAAATTAGAATCATATGGTTTTCAAGGTACATTATTAAAATGGATCGAAAATTATTTGGATGACAGAGTTCAAAGAGTGGCCTTAAATGGGTTCTATTCTAATTTTAAACCTATATCTGCAGGTGTTCCTCAGGGTTCTGTTCTAGGTCCTTTCTTATTCCTCCTGTATATTAATGACATAACTGATAATTTAGCTAATAATACAAGGTTATTTGCAGATGATACATCACTGTTTATAATTGTAGATAATGATGTTAATGCAGCAGCAATATCACTTACGTCTGACTTAGATAAAATTAATAAATGGGCTTCAACATGGGCTGTGGATTTTAATCCAACCAAAACCTGTAATTTAAATTTTTCAAGAAGTTCGAATGACCATCCCCCAGTCCATTTTGGGTTTAATGGTAGTATTATTAATGAATCTAGAACTCACTGTCATCTTGGACTCCTTTTCCAAAATGATGCCAAATGGTCATCTCATATAAATAATTTATATGAAAAAGCTTGTTCTCGGCTAAATCTGTTAAGAATGTTGAAACATTTACTAGATAGGAGTGCATTGATAAAAGTTTATTTTGCTTTTATTCGACCCATTTTAGAATATGGTAGCATTGTTTGGGATAATTGCTCACAGGAACTTTCAAACCTTTTAGAAAATATTCAAGTAGAAGCAGCCCGAATAATAACAGGACTTAGGAAAAATTCATCCAGAAATGCTCTGTATTTAGAATTAGGTTGGGAACCACTAAATAATAGAAGGGAAAGACAAAAACTCTTGTTATTTTATAAAATTGTGTATGGTATAGCCCCTCTCTATTTGCAAGAAATGGTCCTACCTTTTATGCCACCAAATCATGGTTACAATCTTAGGAATATTGGTAATTTTAATTTTGTCATACCTCAAGCAAGGACAGTGTCATATTTCAACAGTTTTCTGCCTTCTACTATACAATTATGGAACAATTTACCATTAGAAACAAAATGTATTGAATCCTATTCAAGTTTCAAGAATATCTTAAAGAAACCTACTATAGACAGAATAAAGAATGTCAAGATCTTTAATTATGGTAATCGCAAGGAAAACATTATACATTGTCAACTACGTAATGAATCTAGTAATCTAAATGCTCACTTGTATAATCATTATTTAAGTGAAATGGCATCTTGTACTAAGTGCGGATATCCGAACGAGGATAACTATCATTTTTTCTTAGAATGCCCTGCCTATAATAATCAGAGAATGATACTTTTTGACAGTCTTCAGAGTATAATAGATTTAGAAACCCTCTCTCCTGATCAAATTTTGAATAATTTGCTATTTGGTGATAGGCAATTACCTGATAAA